AGATACGTTGCCTAAATTTTGATGGTAATCTAGATGGGGATCTAGACTAAGTCTATATGTCTTGTACAGAAAGTGGGGAAGTAGATGCCAGTCCCAGTGAGTTTGGAGTAATAGGAGGGTTATATTAGTTCTTACATGAACACTTGGCAATCTGATTATAAACTGGAATGCAAAAATTTCAGTATAATAAAGAAGTAGGATACAGTAATTTCTGCATACTTGGAAATAATACAAGTTTAAAACTATATGGTAGTATCAATAGCAGTTATCTTTCATCGAGCTTCATGGTGGCCTAGAGGTGGAACTTTTGCTTCACAATCAGGAGGCTGTGAGCTCTATCCTAGGTAGCGGCAGATGTTTCTGGGAGCAAAGAGAAAATATCTGCTGTGAGCTCTGTGTAGACATCAAGGGCATCTGGCCAGTGAAAGTTCAGTCTCACTGACTCCACCCTGATGTAAGGGATTACAAAGTTGTTAAAAGAAAAACAAAATAGCAGTTACCTTTCATAAATTATCTGCTCTGGCCTCATCCATCTTGCATCCTTTCTGAATTCCACAACCAAATATAGATGTGACAAGAAGTATTGATATCCCTCCAAAGTAGTTCTCAACTTATGACCGATCACTTAGCGACTGTTGGAAGTTGTGATGGACCCCCCTAAAGGTACTTATAACCTGGTTCCAAAGTTCCAACAGTGACTCCCACAGTCAATAATTTTGGACATTTTGCAACTGGCCATGGCTCATTATCATATGACCACAATTTATAATGTTTTTTCCAACGTTTACTTCTGGTTTTCAGCAAAGCCACCCATAGCAAACAATGGGTTTGCTTAATGACCACTCCAAAAAACCTCTACTCCAAATGTAATTGATAGGCTCCATTGTGGTCATAAGTTGTGGACTGCCTATACTTTTTTCCAAAGAATCCCAATTTGCTGTGAAGTAAGTTGAAACTGACACATGGAAATGGCATCCACAATTTTGTACTCTATAATTCATAGAGTAAGCATTTTGCTTTGCTTGTTTATATTTGCTTTTATTTTTGTAAATAATAGAACAAATGAAAATGGCACGGGCATAATTATAGGTAACCCTTAGCAGTTAAAATACATTAATTGGATTTTGGTGCTTTCTCAAACAGACATTTTGCTTCAGTTTTTTCATTCCGATCCACAATCAGTTGGCAAATTGGGATTGGGGAAATGGAAGTGTATTAATACTTTTGACTGCGTCTATGTTCTAGAATATTGAAAGTAAAAACAGTGAATACATCTTTGGGATACTGTTTTATATTGTTCCCTGGGAATAATCACTTGTTGTATCAGAATCTTTCTTATGTCTCCCTACTTCTCTAGGTCCCAGAGACATGTATTAAAGTTGCAGTTCTCATGCAGAAGTCAGTGGGTGAAAATGGTGAATGTACCAGCCTTAGTTCAGAAGAGATTGAGCTAGGAATTCAGCGACAGAAAGAAAGGAATGCTGAGTCCTCTCAGTAAGTGAATCTTTAACATTTTCATTTTTTATACCTGAAACCAAAGCCTATCAAGACTTTTTAAACTTTGAATCAGATTATTGCCTTTTGGTCTAATATGACTATTAAAATGCAACATGATTATAAACCTCTTCAAGCAAATGATGTTCATTTGAAGGACTCCATATATAGCATTTTTAGAGAAGTTTTTCCTGACTGCTGATTGCTTTAAAGAATTGCATTCTATATGCAGTGGCCCATGGATGATAACCTGTCTTTTGCTGAGATATGCTAATACATAAATGTTCTTTTTCATTTTCAGAAATTATGAAAATTTGATAAATATGCTTCTAGATTGTGTGAATCAAAGAAATCTGTGAGTATGAGTATATCTTTCTCAAAATGTGGTTCAGGTGTTTTTTTTATTTGGGCTGTGAGTTGGCAACCATTGAGAAATTGTTAGTCACCATTCAGCTTTGTAACTGCAAGAAGCTTTCCAGGGATGGGATGACATCATTGGAAAGGACAGAACCAATTTTGAAAGGCTTTGTGGAGAAAGAACTTATTAATAACAATAAAAGCAAAAAGCACTTTGGAAACAAACCATCTTTATCTTTAAAGCCTCAGCCATGCCCCCCAAAATAAGTTGTATTATACTGCTTATATTCTGTTTTGCAAAATGGCTGGATTTCTGCAGTATGGCTTTGTGCTGGAAGAGATGGCAGTGTTAAAGATGGTCAAGAAAATGATTTGGTTCCGAAACCCTTCTGTTTCTTATGATCACTTTTGAGAGCAAAAGTGAAACAAAAACCTTGATGCTGCAAACATGGTGCTGTTTTGTTGCTGAATGTTGGGTGTTTATGGCACCTTCTAGGCAGTGAGTTGCTCATCCCAGGATCATACGATATCCCATTCTCCACCCAGTTCAGTGAAAATTCAGTGAAAATTTAAGAGTTCTGCCTTCCAGATTTTATTTTGTATAATTGGGAATCCTTTTTCTTTCTTCCAGCCCTTGGAAGTTTGAGCACATTGGCATTGGTTTCCTGTCCCTACTTTTAAGGGATGACAGAGTGCTACCTGTAAGAGCCATAAAATTTTTTGTGGAATGTCTAAATCATGATGTCTTGGTGGTTCGCAAGGTAAAAGGCTAACTGGTTTAATTATAGTAAAACATGTTTGCGGATATTGATTCCATTATTCATTCCCTAGAGTGGATTCATATGTGCTTTCTTCACATGACAGAGTATTTGTTTTTCATCTTATGAATGGGTTTTTCAGTGTTTCCAGACTACCATTTTCTTTTTAAGTAGAGTTTGCTTGAGATGTGTAGATTTTTCTAGAGATGTGCAGGCTAGCAGAGTTGCCCAATTCACACAGGGAAAGTCTTCAGTGAAGTACTACACAAGCACAAAACCAACTGTTTGTCTACATAGTTTGCAATCTTTGATAGACATTAGCTTTCCAGTCTTAGGCAAGGGATTTGTTTATTATCAACTACTTAATCCAGAAACTTTCTATATATACAGTGAATAGGCTTTACCACCAAGTTAAAAACCCTTCCTTAAAAGGCTTTTAATCCATCTATTAATACTTAACACAACTTTTTAAAAACTTTTAATATATTGTTCCACATATTTAGAAATACTTTTAGGACCATAAAGATCTATTCTAAATGCTTATACATAAACACAGTAGAGATTAGAAAACCCAAATCTTTATGTTGTTCTAACCTAATTAAACCCTAAATGAAGTAAACAAAACCCTACCCAATTAATTTTATATGCTGACTATTTCAACACACACTTGAACCTTACACATAATGTTTTTATATGTAGGAGGAACGTTATGAGAAGAATGTGCCATCTTAACAGGATCTGTGTTTCTCCTTTCATTTGTTTTAAAATACAATGAGCTAACTCTCATTTGTCTGTGTAGATGGCAATCTCTGCTGTGGCTGGCATCCTTAAGCAGCTGAAAAGGCCCCACAAAAAGATGCTCATTTGTCCTTTCCAAATCAGTAAGTGCACTAAAGAAAAACAACTGTCTTTCAGTAATGACAATTTAAGTTAGTTAATATTAAGGGAAATATGAGCTAAGCATCTGTTAACTTGCAGTCTTTGTATCTGCCATCAATTTCTTCTGCCTAATGTTTCAACTATGTTATTTCGTTTTTAACTGACCACCATATCTACTGCAAATTTAGTTGATTTTCGTAGTTAATAACATTAAATTTTCCATTGGCATTAAAATATCGAAGTGCTGCATCTTGGAAATATTCTATTGATTGGGAAGAGAAATAGTGGAATTGTTTGTTTGTTTGCAGACATTTTATGGTTTATCTCTATGTGCCTATTGATGGCTGATTTGTCTGAATGCCAAGTTTCCAGGCACCTCACAGCATTTTGGGATTGGTGTTCATCTGCTACTGTGATGCTGTGCGGCTATAATAATATGTTGGTTGTTTCTAAGATGTTTTTGATGTATAATAATGTTATCTTTTTCCAAATTTATCCAATTCCAAATCAGAAACAGTCAGCAGATTTACATCCACATTGTGCCATCATAGCACACAAACCAGTCAACTCCTCCTTCAAGAAGAAAAAAGCAGATATAATCTGCAGCATATAATGTAAGGACTATAACAGCCACCATGTAGGACAGATTGGCAGAAATCTAGCACGGTGTCCAGTTAGTTACCAGTTAGAAGACGTGATGAGAACTACTTGCTTACAACACACAGATAGACTTAACTACAATTTCAACTGGGAAACTGAGCATCTTAGACCAAGCCAAATCCAAAAATTCTACAGAATTTCTGGGCAGTTGGCATTCAGACAGATCTCCCATAATAGAGATAAACTACATCTACATACAATTCAAAAAAGACAATAAAAAAAGTTAAAAAGGAAACAAAAAGACCAGTACACATTCTCTCCAGCAGCTAACACCCAGATAAATAGGGTTAGCATCAGACAAACAAGCAGAAAACAAAACCCTAATGAAGGAGCTACCAAGGAGAAAACCACATCCCCACTAACATTGGCAGGGCACTCTACTGTATATAAACAGGAAGCAAAACACACACTTATTTGCACTGATGATGTTACTTGGCCAATGAAACATCTGCAAGCAAGAAGCCAAGCTTTGAGAGCACCAAGGACTCCACAATTCCACCCTCAGCTCTCTTCTATTGGAGATATTAAATTAAATTTGCCAGCTGTAAGCTTGATTGTAAGTTAGTTATTGTGGTCCCCTGTTCCTCAAGTCTTATAAAGTCCTCAGTATTTATGTGTGAATCTTCAATTCAGATGTTTGTAAAAACTTGTTAAAGGGTTAATCCACTGGTTGTCAGTTAACTTACTTTCACGATCCTGCAGTCTGTTTTCTGAACTGATAACGTATTTTCATAATTTTAGTTGTAGAAAAAATGCTGCTGGAAATAAGAATTAAGAACTTTTTATGATTGAAATCATTCTTTGATTGTTATCCTGGAGTATAGAAATGGCTAATACAATTTTTCCTACTGATTACCTGCCAAATCTGAACTTCCCCAGTTTTCTAGGCGTTTATCTTATATCAAGGAGGGATGAACAATCTAGTTTAAAGCAACTAATTTGTAGAAAAATGACTACTTTAATGGGTGTTTTATTGTGGTACTTGTTTTAGTTTTAAGAATATTAGTTAACATATTTTAGTTCCTTGGGGACTGTACTAGTTATGTTGCTATTTGAAACAGATGCTTCATGGTGTCGGTTTTAAAAAAATATAATTATTCAGAATTGTGTGAATTAGTGACAGCTGGCAATAATTGTGGGCAGCAATATGTCCTGAGTGAAAATAGGAATATCAAGCATCTATTGATAAATTTAAAAAGAAAAGCATTTTTCTCTTTCACAAACAGGTGGATCCCCACAGCCTTCTAATATCCAGGCAGGTGACAGAGCTGATAACCAATGGCTGCATTATGACAGTGCTAATTTACCAAAGACTAAACAAAAGTGGGAGGCCTGCTGTTTTGTGGAAAAAACACATTGGGGATACTACACTTGGCCTCGGTAAGTATTGGCTTCTGTCCTTCTGCCCTCTTCTATAGTATGAAAGTCAGTAGAGTCACTTCATAGCTTCCATTCAAGTTGCCTTACTGATGCAAACCTTGTCCTGCTTATGCTTGATTTGCTAGAGCAGTCATTTATTTCTTCCACATATTAAATCCTTTTGACTTTCTATATTTGATAATATAAAGGTTAGAAAGATGTGAATCTGAATTTACACTTGCTAAATTGTGACTTTGAAACAGTGAACCAGGAAGTGGTATTTTTTATTTTGCCATTCAATATTGTTTGAAGTTCACTTTTTCCCCTTACAATTTCTAGAAATATGGAAATCTATGCTTCTGTAGAAGAGCAACCAAAACTTGGGAGGAGTAGAAAGGAACTTTCAGAGGTGATGTTATATTTTAAAAATGTGCTCACAATTTATCTTGGTCTGATATTTCACTTTCAGCATATTTTTCCCCTTCGTTTTATAGCAGTGATTAACCTTAGAATAACTTAAATTATTCAAAGTTATCTGAATTCCAGAATACTGAAATTCAAATGCATATAATAATATGTTAATAGAATCAATTATGTGTTTGGATCATACAGCCCTAGTGCTTATATCAAAATACAGTATGAAGAAATTTTTACGTGAGTCATCATAGATTTATCTCCTGACTCTTTACACCTTTCTGTCTCATATATAGTGATATTTTCTGTTTGCCTGGAATCTGTTCACACAATGAACAGGCAGTTAAAAAGTAACAGTGTTTGGAGAAATCATGTGGTTTTGCATACATGTGTCAGGAGTCTATATTAGAAAAATGAAATTAGTTTGGATTTTTTTAAAAGAGAGAGTTAAATATATTCAGCACTGGCATGATACTAAACCATTTGTCCATTTACCATAACAGTGATTTCTTTGAAATAGGTGATTTTCAATTACCTGAATTCCGGATATTGTTCTTGTTACCATTTATATATGGAAGCTTTTGACTGGATTCTTTCCTTTAATTTATCATGTCACACTGATTCTGCAGCACATTGATAAGTCCCTTCTCAGGTCACAAATTCTTTGAATTGGAAGTAGGAAGAAGAGATATAAAAGTATTCATTCAATTTTAGTTTTCTATAGAAAGCAAGAACCTATTCACAATTGCAAAACTTTATGTCTCACTTATTTTGGCCATGTCATGTGGGGGAAGTCACTGGAGAAAGCAATTATATTTGGAAGAGTTAGTGATAAAAGGAAACCAGCTTTCCAAAGAACACAGTGATTGGTCATCATCAAAGCTGACACCAGCAGAGCATAGGAAAAATTCAAGTAGTTCAAGATCAGAAGATGGGGAGAGACCTGCTCCATAGAATCCCGCAGGAGCCTGAAAGGATTACGTCATCATCACCACCACCACCACCATCATAGAAAATTATAGCATGAGGAGTTCTAAGGCTGACAATTAAAGAACAGTTTGTTCTTGCAAGAATGTATCAGTTATACATTTTTCAGGTTTTCTGATCTAAAGATTAAAGTATCTAATTAGGGGGAACCATATGTACAGTATTTTCCCAATATACTGTACATATGGTAAGCAATTTTTAGTTCTGTTTAAATTATTTTTTATTTTATTTTACAGGCGGAGCAAGTCATTTATGATCACTTTTCTGATCCTAATTTTGTTGAGCAGTTAATCAAGTTTCTTTCTTTAGAAGACAGAAAAGGAAAAGATAAATTTAATCCACGAAGGTTTTGCCTCTTTAAGGTAAATGATTATCTAATATTTTGCTTCTTTTCTAGGAAATATGTCGAGCCATGTGTTAAAGCTGTTTAAGAAAAAAAATCCATGCAGTTAAGCCTTTGTGATTCTTCTATCACATATATCGCTCTGATTCTGGGGTTTATCAAAATTTCATCTATCATAATTTATGGAAAAATTCTGCCTCAAGTGCCCTTCTTTACACACTGTTCTTTCTGGCTTGTATACAGCCAGAGTTTTCCATTCTGTCAAGATTGGAGAAATTTAGTTTAATGGTAAATAAGACAAGATAATAAGAAAGTCTAATGAACTGCCACACTATTGAAACCAATCCATAATATTCAGCGTATTGCCTTCTGTAAGACTTTCATAACAAGAGAGCCATTTGAAATGGTTGTATAACCACCTTCTCACACGTAACATGCAGGCACACTCATTTGTCCATTTACACTACACTCCATTTAGCTTGTGTTAAGGCAGTGAGGTTTTCTGATACAATTTTATTGCTTTATAATTTTCCTCACAGCTTAATAATCAAATTTTCAGATTTATGTGGAATTGTGGAAATGTGGTTTTCAGATTATAATTTAGGGACAATGGCAAAATGTACTACTTTTTTCTAAAGCTCTTCAGTGCTTTTCTCTTAATAATGGCTTGTATATAATTTAATTTTGAAAATGGTAGCTCAATTAGCGTTTATAGTAAATTGCATTAAAAAGGCATTAAATACACACAGAACACTTGTGGCTTGGAAAAATTCCTTCCCCTCTAGATATTGTTGATATTCAACATTTTAAAACATATTTATCATTTTGGAATGATTAAATTAGGTTTATTCCTTTTTATAAATGTAGTAAGAAGCATTAAGGATTAAAGTCAAATTTGTGTGTTATTTCCCTAGGGTCTGTTTAGAAATTTTGACGATACCTTCTTACCTGTATTGAAACCACACTTAGAACGTCTTGCTGAAGATTCCCATGAAAGTCCTCAACGCTGTGTGGCTGAAATTATAGCTGGTTTGATAAGAGGGTCTAAACATTGGACATTTGAAAAGGTAGAGCACATTTCTATGAATTTTGCAAATATATTTGATTCAGATCTCATATACACCAGAATTATGCTGAATTACTGAAGAAAAGTATAATGTTTTCGTTTGCCTGATATAGGTGGTTTTCGTGTATATAGATTGGTCTGAGGGATTTTATTACATAAATACTTGAATGTTTTATATACCAGCGGCTATAGAAATTAAACAAACAAACCAATCAAAGGTCACTCACTCTCTCAAACCCAGGAAGCAAGCAATGGCAATGGCATTTCCAAGAAAATTGCAGGGACTTCTCCAGGATTAAAGATTGATTTGAAGGCACTCACACATATAAATAATTAGTTTGAAATTAGGAATGTTTAAATATGGAACAGATATTTCCCTCTTGCTTTCTGAACTACAGTATTAACACAGCCTATGCTTTCAATATGTGGTGTTTTTTGGTTCCTCGAAAACTAAGTTGCATGAATTCTGACAGAAATCAACTTTTCCTATATGTGTTCCATTCTAATAAAAACAAAATTGTTTGGAATTACAGGTGCCATGTATTAATACATTATTTTTCTCATGTGTAGGTAGAGAATCTCTGGAAAGTTCTCTGTCCACTTCTTAGGACAGCTTTATCCAATATTACAGTAGAAACTTACAATGACTGGGGGACATGCATAGCAACTTCATGTGTAAGTCTTCTACATTATTTTTCACTCTGCCATGTTATGAAAGCATTCTCCATTCTTCTAATACTGGCTTCGTCCGTGAATATGGGGAAAATAGCCTATACTGAAAATAAATTATAGCTTTTGACTATTCTAATTTTAGTTTTTATCTAGAAAGAGGAATGGAAATACTTTTATGATGACTTGTTACATTGATTATATATATGTATGTTCAGAATTGTAGTACTGTAGAGGTTTTATTTGGAAGAATCTTTTGTTGGATTTCTTGGTGGAATTTATTGAAAAAGCATAGTTATGTTATAAAATGCATTTTGAAATACAGTATCAATATTGGATGCTGAATTGTCTCTTAGCAAGTTACATTAGGATATATATTTTCAGGAAATGATTTTGCCCCCTTTTCCTTTAAAAAAAATATAAATATAGGAGAGCAGAGATCCCAGGAAATTGCACTGGTTGTTTGAATTGTTATTGGAGTCTCCACTGAATGGTGAAGGAGGATCATTTGTTGATGCATGGTAAGGAAAAAAAATCTCATTTATTAAAGCATGGATGAAAATAGAACATTTATTTATGCTTGTTTTGCTTTTAACCATATGATAATCATCAGAATAGCATTTGAGTAGCCATGCGTACAGTTAAAACAATTAGTCAGTGAAACAACTTGCCTCCAGAAGTTGTGAATTCTCCAACAATGGAAATTTTTTAGAAGAGACTAGACAATCATTTGTCTGAAATGGTATAGACCAGGGTTTCCTTCCTGAGTTGGCCTCCAAGGTCCTTTCCTATCTGTTATTTCTGTTATTCTGTTATAAGTGATTATAGCATGCTATTTAGATGGAAAATACGCTTAAATCTTACTGATTTGCTTAGCAACATTTTAAGCAAAAATTGTGGGCATCCACTGGTCCTGATGTAATTATATTTGTATCCCTTGGTCACCATCTGAGTATAGTTGAAAAAAATCAGCAAGATTTTTCAGAAAACTAGGTTAGATAGTTAAGCTTTTACAGTTACTGTTCTATTGGGAGGTAGAGATTTCTTCTCTTAAGTGTACAGTACAGTGACATAGTTCTCCTATGTATTTACACTTATATGTACATGCAAAAAAATATAATGCTGTGTACATAATAAATAGTAACACAGGTTAGAGCCCAAAATTGAATAGTTCATTTGTTTGATGTAAGTTTTGATATGATTAACTTTTTAAAAACACATGGCATAGTTGCTAATTAGCCCACTCTTTTTCCCTAGCTAAACATAGAATGACTGTCTTTTATGAACAAGAGCAGGGTAAGGCATTTGGATTTTGCCTTATCTTTGCAGAAGATGGAAGTCCACTTCTGTAAAGTTACCATCCCTTCACTAACTTTTTCTTCTTTTTACCGTCTAGTCGTCTGTATGTTTTGCAAGGGGGTCTTGCACAACAAGAATGGCGAGTGCCAGAATTGCTGCACAGATTGCTGAAATACCTAGAGCCTAAGCTCACCCAAGTTTATAAAAATGTCAGAGAGAGGATTGGAAGGTTAGTATTAAGGCTAAACTACGTCATATGTTTTTCAGCCTTTAGATATCTCATAAAATTGTCACTTTGTTTATATGTACTCCAGAAATAAGAACAAGGAAAAGTGGTTTGATTAGTTTGAATTGAGTCTTTAAGGCATGAAACTAAATTAAAAGTACGTTCTTGTGTTTTATGCAGTGTTTTGACATACATCTTCATGATAGATATTTCTTTACCAAATACTGCACTAACAAAGTCTCCCCGTGTCCATGACTTCACTTCTCGAATACTTGAAAAACTTAAACCTCTTATGGAAGTGGATGAAGAAATTCAGAATCACGTTTTGGAAGAAAATGGAATTGGAGATGAAGATGAACGAACTCAGGGCATTAAACTACTGAAAACTAGTAGGTGCTTGTGTTAAACGTGTGAGAACCTAATTCAATGTTCACTTGTAGTGAAATGCCATTTAAAGGAAAAACTTGTTCAGAAGAGATGAAGTTGTGTTTTGTTCTTTGTCTTTGAATTGAGAAGTGTCTTTCTTTTACTTGGCAGTTCTAAAGTGGTTGATGGCAAGTGCAGGGAGAGCTTTTTCTACAGCTGTTACAGAACAGCTTCAGCTTTTGCCATTGTTCTTCAAGGTAAGTAGTTTGATATACAGCTTGATCTGTTTAGATGACAAGACTATTTCCCAGTAACACTTAACGTTTTAATAATGTGTGAATGAAGCTTCATTTGAACAAATAGCATGTACGGAAATATAGACAACCCGTTATATAAATTACATTAAATGTTTGAATCAATTGCCATTTCTTCTAAACATTTCCTTATTTGATGCATAATCTTTGAAAATACTGCAGGGAAATCTTTTAAAGATTGCCACTTGCAGACTTCCAGCTGTTAATCCTGCTCACATCTTGTTTTAGTTTCAGGGCTGTGCAGAAAGGTTGCTTACTATGGAATTTTCAAAATGTCCCAGACATAAAAAACATACTATTTGAGAATGCATGTCTGAAATAAGTTTTGTTCATACCTATTATTATTATTATCTGTGCTTTTTAAATCTCTTTTTCCAGATTTTGATTAGATATTTTCATATTGACAGATACCTGTGGGGAATTAACTATTTAGAGTCACTATAGTTAAAAACCTTTTAGCTATATTTTAATGACATAATAGTTTGAATTGCTTTCTGCATATTGCAGAAATGTTTTATATTTTAATCCATACCAGTACAGTTTGTCCTTGACAGTTCATTTAGTGAACATTCAAAATTACAACGGCACTGAAAAAGGTGACTTATGACTGTTTTTCACACTTAACAACCATTGCAGCATCCCCTATGATCACATGATTACAATTCAGATGCTTGGCAACCAATTCATATTTATGATAATTGTTGAGATCAACTTTTGTGACCTTCTGACAAGCATAGTCAATGGGGAAGCCAGATTCAATTAATAAACCTGTTTTTAACTTAACAACTGCAATGATTCACTTAACAACTGTATCAAGAAAAGTCATAAAATGGGGCAAAAATCATTTAATCAACCATCTTGCTTAGCAACAGAAATTTTGGGTTGAATTGTGATTGTAAATTGAAGTCTATCTGTATAGCATTTTAGGAGTTTTAGCTTCTGTATTAATTATATTAGTTTTCTTAGAGATATTAAATTGTTGTTTTCCAACGTGCCTTGCATTTATTTAGTTTTAAGGATCAAAACTTCACTAGTTGTCTTCACTGACTTTGCATTTGCTTTGTATTCACAGATTGCACCTGTAGAAAATGATCATAGCTATGATGAATTGAAGAGAGATGCTAAAATGTGCTTATCATTAATGTCTCAGGGATTGCTGTATCCACAACAAGTGCCTTTGGTACTTCAGGTGCTAAAACAAGTATGTGATGCTTTTTAAATTGATATTTTTAAACAGCATACTTACATATATTTAATCTTGTGTTAGTAGTTTTTTTATATCTGTGCTGAAAAACGTAGGAAATATATTTGATCTGAATACACAAGAGACTGCAAAAGTGGAGGTTTTTATTGATTATCATATTTGAATTATAATAGAATATTGTTCAGGAAAATGATCTATGGCATATCCTCTGGGTTTTAGTGTATTTCAGCTAGCTAGAGGTCATCTGTAGCCCAATTCACCTTGTCTGACTTCATAAAATCCCTGTGATAATGAGATTGTAACTCAGTGAATAGTTTGTGACATATTTTATTATAATAATAATATAATATTATTATAATTCCTTGTGTCTCCAATGATACTTGGCCAATAAAGAATTCTATCATATTCACAGGAGTAATCCAATGTAAAATTATTAACTTTTTCTGACAGGAATAAAAAAATACACTTAGTTAAATTAAAATAAAGAACAAACATGTCCCTACTGAACTGTCAAATCTATTTGGGGAAAAAGGTTGACCTTAGCAACAGGAAATAGGTCACTTTAAACAAACCTATAGACAATAATCATGATTTGATATTCAGATTGCCATGATGTAATCCCCCAAAATGGTTTCTTTGTTCAGTTGGATTTGCTCTTCAACAACACTTCAGGCATCTCTTGCATTTCATGTCCCTGAACTTCAGAAGACCAAGAATCCAGAATCAATACACAGTGAGGAGCAATCCAGTCTAACTTATCCATTCCATTTCTTGTCCATTCTAGGACATGGCTAAAGCATCATTTGATCCCATCCAATCAGATCCTCAGGAAAAACCCCAGGGACCTCAGAGTCCCCTAGTTTTGGGGAACAGATCAACCTAATGAGTCTATTTTTAAGGGATACAGATAGTCCTTGCTTACTAATTGCTCTTTCAGCAACCATTTGAAGTTATGACAGTACTGAAAAAGGAGATTTAAGACCCTATAATCATGTGATCATAATTCTGATGCATGGCAATTGTAATGGATTTATGACAGTCATGGTTTTCCACGGTCACATGATCGCCATTTGCAGTCAGCGGGGAAGCTGACAAAGCCACACAGTCACCTGATGTTATACTTGATGACCATGGGCGATTCACTTAATGACTGCAGCCAAAATTGACATTATAAGACATTGTGGTAGTGATATATCACTTTATGATTGCATTAGCAGTGCTTAGTAGTGAAGTTGCCAATTCCAATGCAGCTTGTAAGGGTGGATTACCTGTATAAGCATTTTTTCTTTAACAAGTTTCACCTGGCCAAAGGAGGAGAAAAATGTGTTGAAAGACAGGAAAGTAAATTGTAATGTATATGTTTGTGGATGGGTGGGAATTGTACTACTTACACCATAACAGGTTCAGGACTGACATTATAGAGCAGAGATGTGCAACTGTTTCCATGTTGAAGGTTACACTTAGCCTTTGAGAGGGAAGGGAAAACAAGTAAATGAGAGAGATTAGCAGCAATCTGCGAGATGAAATTTCAAGCATATTAATTAAAAAATGTTGAAAAATCATCAACTATTACAGATGAATTCTGGAAAGTTTTCTGCATGGTCAACAGTTTGATTTAGACTTTATTGTACTTTATTTTTCTAATTTCTATGGTTCTATTATTTTGGCCTCTTCTTTTTATCTTTTTATAGATTGCAAAGAGTAATTCCTGGCATGCTAGATATACTGTGCTAACCTACCTCCAGACTATGGTATTTTATAATCTTTTTATCTTCTTAAACAATGAAGAAGCTGTGAACAACATCAGATGGCTGGTTATAAAATTATTAGAAGATGAACAGCTTGAGGTAAACACATTCTTATGCTTCTTTTTTATTTTGACAATTTGTGAAAAACTTACTTGTGGAATAAATGTGGAACCATAGGCCTGGACATGATACGTGTACTTGGTGAGCAAATTAAATACATGGCAATTTGCTATGATATTCCAATGTTTTCTCAATATTGATCTTCCTAAATGATAGTTCATCACAATTTTAACTAGTAACTTCTCCATTGCTCAGTAAAGGTTTTCCAGTACTGGCTATACATTTATTCCTTAATGATCCATTAGATTTTAGATTTAATTTTTTGGTGAGTACTAAGTCTTAAAAGAAATACGTTTAACTGTAACCTAGTGGGAATTAAAAACAGCGTGCTAAAGATGCTTTATACCTTTATGGTATGCTTTGCTTTGCACTAATACCAAATACTACTTAATTATTACATAGATGAAATACCCTTGCTTATCACATTCCACCTGCTGATACCAGATAATAAAATGTTGTATGAAATAGGTATTGGAGATGTAACAATTTTCTCAATGCAGTCCCTTTAGAAGGGATGCAGTCAAAATTCATGAGGATGCTACTTCTTTGTATCCAGATGTGTAGAAGATTCCTTTTAAAGATGAGAAGCGGAAGTGATCTCATTAGAGACCTGAATCTGATTTTGCCATCCTAAAATATGGTTTATACTTCAAGCCAGCCTTCAGCTGCCTTGAACTTGCAAGATAAATATTATTCCTTTGTCTAATTGAAGATTGTGGATTTTCCACTTAATATTTAGTCTCAACTAGCAATGAGAAAGCTTTGTTGGAAATAAAATTAAAATTAGTGCCACACTAGTGCAAGATCTTCTGTGCACTTGTCGATGATAAGAAATTTATTCAATAATTCAGGTCCTTTCGTCCTGCCTGCTATTCAAACCGATGTAAAAGTTTTATTTTTCCACATCTTTTTATCTTGTTTTACAATCGTGCTTAATTTTGTCACTAACTGTAATAGCACTACTGCTACTGACAAAGTAGTATCAATGTAGGGCCATATCATACTTTATGGATGTCAGATCTTTGGAAAAAACCAAATGTATAAGTAACATCAAAATTTGAAACATTTGGTTCTTATTCCAGTGTGAATGTAGATAATGAGGCAGGCTCCTGAAGCTATCATTTAAAACACTCATAAACTCATATAGAGCAATTTATTCTCTTTTATATTTAGAAGTGGTTCTCACTTAACAACCATTTGTTCATCAACAGTTCAAAGTTATGGCAGTGCTGAATGAATGAATGAAGTTATGACCATTGTAATGCTTTCAGTGTAATCAAAATTCAACTGTTTGGCAGCTTACCTGTACTTACAACCACAGGGGTACTTCTGCACCCCCACCTATCACTTATCCATAACATTCCCATTTTGACTGCCATGCAGTCCTCTGCCAACCCTACTGACCCCCATCTCAGGTTTACCCTATTTCCTTCCTCCTCCTGCTGATCTAGGATTTATGTGCTGGTTGAGGGTACAGTTCTGGGATATGCCTCAGCAGAATGTATCTATTGAAGGAAGCTTGCTGGGCTCAGCTGGCAAGGAGGCAGCAGGATGGAACAGGTGGTGGAGGCAGGGTGGCATTGCAGAGGAAAGTGCCTTGTCTTCTGCTACCAGCATGAGGAGTGATGGCTCTTTAGGAGTGCGTCCAATGTGAGATGCAAAGCCATGCTTTAAAGGGCTTGTGGGCTATTCTCCTTGCCCTAGTGATGGAACACAAGGCTCTTCCTCTGACTCTTTCCTGCTACTGACTCCCTGGTCAGGCCCAGCAAGCCCCACTCAGCAGACAAGAGTTCACCATGTTGCCGTATTGCCACATGCCTCCTGAGACTGTACCCCTGCCAGTACCTGGACCTTAGGCCAGCAGCAGGAAGAAGACGATTGTCAGCTGCGGGCACTAGTGGCAGAGTACATACAAGGCAGACAAATTGGCAGAAACGTAGTAGAGAAGTTGGGGGAGTTGAAGCAGAAGTGAGTCAGTCAAAACCCAAGAAACGTGAGATCTTTGCCTAATGACAGCATGATCCTGGCCTAATCACTATAACTGGGACTACCGGAACCACCATTACTAAGTAGTGTAGGCATATAATGTTTCACCTAACAATGTTGCACCTTCACTTAGCACTGGAAATTCTGGTTGAAATTAGGGTTATTAAGCAAGGACTGCCTGTGTTCATTCCATTAAACGTGTAGTGAAAAATTTGACAGTGTAATTTGCCCATTAGGGGCATGGTAAATTCTTGAAGCAATTGTAAAATTGTCAAAATGCTTGCTTTTGTGTAACATCTTAATAATTATATTGCCATAGAAACCCCTGTATTGCAGAGGTTGTAATTTGTTTTTCTTTACTTTTAGGCAAGATCTAATAGGATGATGATTCACTACCCGTGTATTGTGTCTTTGTTATTTTGTATATAAATTAGAGGTTTTTGTTGCAATTGTAGGGTGTAAATCCTTCCTAGGCTGATCTTTGCCATTTACCCATCCATTTAATTGGGCTTTTTTTACATTTTGAAGTTAAAGCTATTCATTTAGAATAGTTCTTGGAAGCCATTTTTTCAGTCACTTTCTCAGATCTTTGGATTTTGGATGACTGAGAAATAATGTAAATGCATACTTACATTTGAGAGCAAAAAAGACTCTTAAAGAGATGTATTGATATTTAAATTTCATAAACATTAAACTTTACTTGACATGTTGTCATCTAATCTCAGTAATCTTCCTTACTCCAAGTGTAAAGATGACTTTTAAAAAAAGCAAGTTACCCTAGGGAAAACTAGGTAGTACTCTCTAAATTGAAGCTGCTGCTCTCTTGCTCTGTTATGTGGATCTTAGAACCATACTACATTTGTAAATGCTGTAATAAAGCATCTTCTACGTTATATTTCCTTTTTATATGTAGTTTGTAGAATTGCATCAAGATGGCAGCTTACCCCTGGACCTGGATCCTTTGTGTAAGCATGAATGTGTTCGGGTAGTCCTCGACATAGGACCACAATTGGGACCAAGATTGTCATCATAAGTTGATGCTGTTGCAAAAGCAAGGCCATGAGACTTAAAATGACAAACCAACACTCCCTTTTGTGGTTGTTAATTAAGAATTGCAAGTCATTAAGCACGTATCTACCCTACCCCAATCTAAGCCATTCCAGACTTAGTCTTTCCCAGCCTTGACCTTCAGTAAGGTAAGGGACTGTCTCCAACTCCCTCATCTGCCTATCTCTGCCCTTTGATTGCCTTGCATCCTGGCTTGCAAGGTACCAAACAGTCCCAGAACCATGTGGCTCTGGGGTTGCTTACCATATCCATGAAAGTTCGAGTCATCCTAGCCCAGTTCTAGCTGCAGTTGCCATTACTACTCTGCATTCTTAGATCCCTCCTGCCTGGTGCTCCATCACCCCACTTCACCTTTGCTGGGTTTTTTTTGCTCCCTCTGCTAATAAGGTCTATCCAGCCTGGGCTGAGTTTCAGTTGCGATAAAAGAAAGGTGAAAGTAGTTCCTGAACGACAGAATGCCTTTTTGCAAAAAAGCTTCTGGAGTGCAGAACCCTGAAGTGCTCCTTTGGGCATGAGTGCCCTGCCCACACACTATTCAATCAGTCTCTGTTGAGCCTGCCTATCGCTGCCCTGATTCTTTGTCTTCAGTTGTCAAAAAGAGAAACAAACAGCCTTAACCATTTTAAAGCAAATTTTGTTTTGTGCACCTTCCATCCTATCTGCATTGGTCTGGAAAAGATTACTTCAGAGCACTTTAGTCCAGGGGTCACCGATCTTTTCGACCCCAGGGATCACTAAATTCATAATTTTAAATTCTATGGACCACTAATATGATTTAAAAAAAAAGATAAATAGTATTTAGTGCAATATAAACAGTGCAAATAATTTTTCTGCGGACCACCAAAATTTTCTCATGTACCACCAGTTAGTGACTATTGCTTTAGTTTTCAATCAGCTGAGCTAACATTGGCATCTATTCATTTTGTTCTATCCTCATGCCAAACTTTGTACTTTCCCATGCTTTGAACATTCTCCAGCTTGCCACTTTATCCAACTATAAGGTTTTTTCCAGACATCAAGAAAGCAGCACAACCACAGGCAAGAGAAGCATGTTGGAGATTAACTCTTGCCCTGCCAAAATCCACCTGGTCTACCATTTGTTTGCAAGGACAGTTTCATTTCTAGTGTCCTCCTCTTCCCATTTGTTTTCTAATCTCAATCTGGGGCTAATCTTTATGAGTATGGAAAAGAGGAGGTTTTGACACAGTGCACTCCAGGAACTTTTTGCAAATGGCTGTTTCACTGTGCTGCTGCTCAGAGATTGGTTTTGGCTTCCCACAGCATACCATATCAACAGTGAGAGCAAGAAAAATGGTGAAAGTGAGCTGGGGTGGCAGAATGTAGGTTGATTGAGGTCTAGGAATACAGGGTGGCAGGAGCAGTTGCACTAAGCTGGAACGCTATGGTTTCCCAGGGCATTGCAAGCAGTCCCAGAGTTGTGTGATGGTCTGCTTCCCATCCCACAAGTGCAGGACCTCCAAAGGACAGAGATGGTTGGGAGATAGGTGGTATTGGGGAATTGGAGCACCTGCGCGATTGTAAGTACAGGTTGGCTGCCAAGTGTCCCAAATTTTGTTCACATAATTGTGAACAAAACTGCAACAGTCCTAAATTCAGGTATAGGTTGCAAGTCTATTTTTTTCAGCACCGTGGTAAGTTTGAATGGTCACTGAATGTATGGTCATAAGTAGAGGAATATCTGTTTGGAGAAATACATTCCAAATAGTATTTATTAAATTATTTATTTATTTATATAATTTATATGGCTACCCATTTTACTGAAGTGACTCTTGAGTGGTAAACAGAAATTAAAACCTCCAATATTTAAAAACAAAAACCTACACTGATAATGTTATCTACTTTGCGTAATAAAAAGTCTAGGAGAAAACAACCAAGCTCAGAGAGCACCAACAACCCCTCATTTCAACCCTCATTACAAATAGGCCAGCTATTGTCCCTGAAAAGGGGAAAAAATAGAGAAAATGTAATACTATCAGAAGACATTCAAGCAATTGACCTTGAGTTATAAAGAGATTTGCAAAAACAGACTCTAATCTACATTATCTGTTTTCTCAAAGAACTTTTATGTGGCTTCTTCAGCATTTCAGTATCCTAGTGCCAGTGAACTCTAGGAGAGTTCTTGAGATAAGAATTTTAAGTGTACTTTAGTTTATCGAGATATTGTAAATTATCCCATTGCTTAAGAATATATTAAAAGTTTAGAAACACAGACAGTTGGTCAATCTTTGAGTACATGATAAATTCCATAGAAGCAAAATTAAAAACCCTATAATGAATTACCAGAAATTAACTGGCTCCTGGAATCCATTTCTTATATGAATATTGTAATGTTAAGTAGTTACAAAGCTTCTGAAATGAAGAAGATTGTACAGCTTATTAACATATTTCTGTGCAGCTAAAAGTTGATTTGCTAATGACTTCCAGGATTGGAATGTTTGAGAATGGAATAAACACAGACTTATTATTTACTTTATTTTCTATAATGATTATGTGTTCTGTAATGCCATTTTAACGCCATAATAATAATCATAGTCACTGGGAACAAAAGCCAGCACGCAACAAACTTTCTGTGTTCATAAGCTACTATGAAATTGTTCAAAAGATATCACAGTGCTATAAATACTCAGATGTAGGGTAGACTAAACACCACTGTCTGTTCATTCTTTTGAGCACATGGTGTTCAACAGGCCATGCCATAACTTTGCCCCGTGTGTCTGCTCTTCCAACCTTATTATTATATATTTAACAAAATAACATTTTTATTCAGTGGAATTTAACTAAAACTCTCCTTGTGATCCTGAGGCTACTGTCTCATGAAGAGAAAATTTAGCAAAGTCTTACTGCTTAGTACAGTGAACACTGACTTTGCAAAAGGCTTGTACACAAAGATTACATGTGACAATGCCAGGGTACAATACTCTCACTCTCTTTCTCACATTTAGAAGAGTGTTTTTCAGTTTCAACAACTTTAAGATTTGCTAAACTTCAACTTCTAGAATTCCTCAGCAACCCAGCTGTTTGGAGAATTCTTGGAATTGAAGCCCACCCCTCTTAATGTTGTTATATAGAGCAAAGAGGGCTGCCCTTATTGTTATTACTGATGCTATTATTTGATCCTAGGTGAGAGAGATGGCTGCTACCACTTTGGGTGGTTTGCTTCAGTGCCACTTCCTGGAGATTGATAACCCTATGCAGACTCATTTTGAGCAGCTCTGTAAAATGAGACTTCCAAAGAGAAGGAAACGAGACCTCAGTACTGTAGTGGATACCATTCCCCCTGCAGGTAAGGAGGAAGTTCCTTTAGGAAGGTATAAATCATGCTGAATGTATTGGTCGTGTGTGTGTGTGTGTGTGTGTGTGTGTGTCTTACCTCAGCTTTCTGTTTCTGATTACTTACTTTCCACTTTTCTGTGCATAACATTTGAAAAGTATCTGTTCTTCCAAAAGAAAGTCAGCCAGTTATTTCTGACATACAATGCAGTCTAGTTCACAGGAAAGGGTGCATTAGAGATTTTCATTGGGAAGAACACGGAGAAATCTGAAGCTCCCTAAATAATGGAAACTCAGAATGACAGTTGACATGACTGAGCTACATTGAATTTGGGTCAAACCACAAAAGAAGAGTGGATTCTGCAAGGAAACTAAATCATGTGGCAGAAATAACACATTGCAGGCAATGCAGCACATCTGCATTGGATTAGATTGTAATAATTTTAAATGCACAATTTAACCTATGCTTTAGAAATTACAGGTAGTCCTCTATTTACAACCATTCATTTAAACATGGTTTGAAGTGGTGGTGGCCTTAGAAAAGTGACTAACGGCTTCCCTCAAAGTAATGACCCTTGTACCACTCCTGTAATCACATGATTACATTAGGTAATTTGCAAGCAGCTTGCATTTATAAAAGTTGCAACCTCTTGCAGTCATATAATTATGATTTGCGACCTCTTTTTTGCATCCCTCTATAGTCCCAAAAATCTGCTCAGTGAAATTTAAAGAAAACAATGTAAATGTGTATGCGTGACAGTGATTTAAAGGGCTTCAGAAAAAAGAGGTAGAAAATCCACTCCCTTTTCTAAGAGCTTGTCTCTTATTTGTGTCAATTGAAGACTCCTGTGCTGCCCCATGGAAGAATTACCAACTTTTTTTCTTTCAGATTTAGTTAAACGTCATGCTGGCGTGCTTGGACTTAGTGCATGTATTTTGTCCAGCCCATATGATGTGCCCACGTGGATGCCTCAACTTTTGATGGATCTTAGTGCGCATCTGAATGATCCTCAGCCTATTGAGGTATGATTCATTTGATCAGTGTTGGACTTCTTATGCTGAAGCTTAGCCTCTTTTTTTGAGCAGAAGTTGTTTGTCTACTGCTTAGAAAATTTCTGTTATAGGTACTGGCTATTTTGTTTTGTTTTAACCAAATGTTAGTAATAAAGGTCAAAACAGAAATTATTCAATGGTACCTTTTTAAGTGGCTTTTTTGCTTTTTAGCTAGTTAAGAAACATAACCATTTACAGGGCCAGTTTGGTTTGATTCTGATAATAATCTCTTAGTTTTATTTTATGCAAAAAAGGGTGTGTGTGAAGAATAGGAATAATCCTCTCATATAAAGCAACACAGTACTAAACAAAAACTAGTTGTACATATCTATTAAACTTTTGTACAATTAAACTGTACACATTTAGCAATTCATTGAATAGAATAAAATATATTTGAGCTAATATACACAATTCTTAAATCACTATATATAAATAATGTTTCTTTTCAAGTTTAGGGTAACAGTAGCAAGTATTTCAAATTATATTTTGAAATTTTTGATTGGTAGTGTCTCTATAACCTAAAACATTTGAACAAAATTCTGAATAATATATCTACACTTACAAAGCTGAATCATAGCTTTAAGAACACGACAGTTTATAGTTGTTTTAAATACATTGCCTGGATATCTCTCTGTTATTCTTCACACAGATGACAGTAAAAAAAACATTGTCCAATTTCCGGAGAACTCACCATGATAACTGGCAGCAACATAAGCAACAATTCACTGATGACCAGCTGCTTGTCCTTACAGATCTTTTGGTATCACCGTGCTATTATGCATAAAAGGGTGAGACTGTGTTGTAAAATCTGTACCCTTGGGCTATCTCGGAATGGTCTTCTTGATATCCAGCTTGACATAGCAAAATGTCACCTTTCAAACAGTGCCTTGTAATTTTTAGACTCATTAAATGAAACCAATACTGTCTGGCCTTTTCCTTCCTTCATATAAGAATCTCTTTAGAATTCTCATTTAAAAATATAAAATTAAAAAATATTACCTTTTTGACTTAAATTGAAAGAATATAATCAAATTGGGGCATGTATTGAATATGGTGTCAAAGACATTAAAACATAATTTTTGCTATCCCAAAGGTGCCTTTCAAAAGGCAACTGGACTTTCTTGGGTCTTTTTTCCCCTGGAACACATTTCACTCCTTGTCCTAGAAGCTCTTCAGTACTGACTGAATGTTGGGGGATAGAAGAATTTATATTCTTTGCTGTCATCTGGTCCTTAGTACTCTAAGAGTCATTGAGGGCCACTTGGAGATTTACTTGTACCCACAGGGTCATCTGAATCAGCTTGCAAATGGGTGTGGAACCTTCTTGGGACTGCTGAAAGGACTGTATGGTAGAAACCAAGAAAGTCTAGTTGCCTTTTGAAAAGCACCTTTGGGTAACCATGATCTGGATGATTGAGAATCTCCATAGATAACTTTTGCTAGTTTTCCACTATATTATCTTGAAATCAGTTTACATTAACCTTGCATTATATTTATTTTATGTGATGATAAAATGGGGTTCACACTATATTTACATTTTATGTGAGTGTCAGCTTTAAAATTCAGCTGCCTGTCAGCTTTAAAATTCAGCTGCCAGTGAGACTAGTATGGATGATATTTTGACAGCACTGCATTGTGTTTGCATGTGGTAGTAAACAGGATGTGACCTTGATATAATGAAAAACAATTGCACTGATTTTACTGGCAATCTGGTTCACTTGTTATTCTCTTAATACAGAGGTTCTTAACTCAAATGCAGTCCCACAGGGATCTCAAGCAACTTGGAAAGGGGTCATATTTTTTTTTAAGATTTGCACAGGTAAAGTTGGAAGAAAAGGCCCAGGTAGCATTGGGAAGATGACAAAACCTACGAATCTAGTAATCTGGAAAAGGGATGCATCAATCAAAAGAGTTTTATTTAACTCATCATTTTAGCTCATGAACAAATGTGTTCATCATTCAAGGGATGATGGTATTGCAAAGTTCAAGAATCCTTACCTTAATGAATTGCCATGTGTAAAATATTTTCATTGATCTGGAACCCCAGAAGAAGAACAAGAAAGAGCCTCATATGAGGTCACAAATTGGAGAGTTCTTGCTTTCATGAACTTTGAATTGAATAGAGAGACCTGCTTGCCATTGTACAGAACTGGTTTACGATCATGATAAAATTTATCATTTTAGTAAATAAATCTCAATTAACTTGGTTTGTAAATACATAAACTCAGATGTTATCATTTATTTATTTATTTTCAAGGCTTATAGGTTGTATAGGTGGCTCTAGTCAATGAATTACTAGCATAAACTCCTGAAATTCGTAATTTGGGTAAAACAAATACACACACACACACACACACACACACAGAGAGAGAGAGTCAAAAATTAAAGTCAGAAATATATAGTAGAAATATGTGCCCCTGGAATCAAACCACCTAAAGACTATTAAAATAGTATATAAATTATTTTGATGACAGATTTCCATGCCAGACTCTGTGCTTAAAACAGGCAAATGCCCTTGTTCTTGCTAAAGATAGATTGGCTTTTGTCATTGTCAAATTATCCGTCTCTTTTAGGGTCTCAGAAAAATTAGAAACTGCTTCATTTCTGTAAAGATAGAGAAACTTAAAATTTAACTTTTTAAATATATAACCCTTTTGGATTTGATAATTCAGAGGCTTAAGTTTGGAAACCTTTTAAAAAGTGCATATAGTATGTCCCTTGAAGAAGATTAGATTTCTGTTTAACTGAAGAAAAAGGCTCTGGCATAGTAACAAGTCTCTGCATGAATAAGAGAATTGTAATTTTCTTTTTCATCCATTCAGGCAAGCGTCTTGTATTTAAGATAAATCCTACCTTATGGAATGGCAAATATCGCAATTTTTCTTTTTCCTCTTATAATTTTCAGATTTAAGATTATTTCTTATACAAAGGATTGTTTATTGATATCAGATGAATAACTGGGCACACAACCTATAAGAATATGCATGCCCTACTCTTCATAGTACCCTTGAGTATAAGTGTAGATAGTAATACCATCCCAATTTTTAAAAAAGATTTTTACTTTCTTTTTTAGTTTACATGCAAAACCAAGCTATGCAGTGCTTTGTGCTCAATTCTCTTTCAAACCTTAACTTTTAAATCCATACTATTAATTTTTATTTCATGGCCAGATTTTCAGTATCCTTCATCCAGGTACTGAACTTTAACTTTCAGTGGTTTTGTAAGTAGCAACTTACATTTTTCCAATTTAGGAGAGCCCATGGACAATAACAAATATTTGCTATTGTTTTATTTCATGTATATATGTTAATACTGAATGGTTAAAGACTTTCAAAATACAGTGTAAAATGTTCTGTATTGATTCTCCCACCTTTCCTCATTCACTCTATGTCTCCATGCTGGAACAGATATTTAAGTTGCATTAAAATGCAGAAGTACTGTATCTGTCCCCATCAAAATCCTTTTTGGTCTGTACCTTTGGTGGCTATTGACTCACTACTTCACAACATGTTCAATACATGTTACATACATGTAAAAGATTGTATAAATTGTAGAGGCATTGCATTGACAAAGTACTGTATAGTTTGCAAAAGTTTTACATAATCCATTTGTGAGATTATCTTGTAAAGATTCACACTTTTCAATGTTAAAATACTGCTTTAGCTTTTGTATCCAATTCAAATGCCAATTTCTCCTGGTTTATAATATTGCTGATTCTCATTAATGAAATTATTTAGTTTTGGGTTTAATATTCATTTATCATTAGTGAATGATTTTTTTACCAATTTTTTTTCTCTTGCTACCATCCTAAGTAATGGTATATTTTAATATATGGTAAATAATAGAATTGAAATCTTTCTCCCATTTAAGAAAACAAAAACAACACAAACCTGAAAAATACATTCACTCTGTATCTTTTTCTTTGTGAAAAAGGAATATAATATGCTTTTAAATCACCTGCCTGTTGGGAAAACAAACATGGCAGTGTAGCCTGGACAGCATGTCCTGAGAGTCAATGAAGAAATAACATGTATAGGGTGGTGCCAAATGCATCTTCTTACTTTAAGTTGTGTACTTAGTTTAAAGCTGAATAAATTAATTGTTTGTAAAAATGTGGGTGTGCATGCCATGTTTATTGTTCAGTGTATCCTCTCAAGTAAGGGGCTTCATTTAGGAGGGGAGCTAACAATCTCTTAACAGGGATATTTGGGATCTAATCTAATCTCTTGAATATAAATGATGGGTTGCTTGCTTTTAGTTCTGAAAGGACACGAGTGCTTGGGTATTAGAGAAGTAGATCCAGCACTTTAAAAGTTATATTGGTACTCTTCATAAAAGTGATTCAATCAAGAGAAGTTTGGAAACCATGGTATGGCTTATGACTCAACCGTTGCAGCTTGGTGGCCCGGAGTGGGGGGAAATAGGGGAACCAGGCTGCGTAAGCAGATGGCTGATGGACATGTGTGCATACAGCTCAGCTTAAGTGAACGACGAGCCAGTGTGCACGCACATGCATGCACAGCTTGACCAATTATGGCCCGGTTGCAAATAGGTAGCGGGGTTATGATATAAAAGGACTTTCTGTATAGTGACTTATGATATAAAAGTACTTGTTTGAATTATTCACATTTTACAAATCTTGTCAGCTTAGATTTAGAATTAAAATGGACACGTATAATTGTATTTCCTTTTAAACGAGATACTTTTAGAGGAAAAATGTGCAAAAACTCTTGTTCTCCCCCTAAGCCTAGCATAGAAATTTGGTTTTGATAACTTGATTCTCTTAGGAAAAAGAAGAGTAGGATAGTTTCCAATCACAAAAAGATGACTGAATTGTGCTGATTCTTGTTGCCAGGGAGATCTTTCTAGCTTAGTTCATCCGCTTCCCTTTCCTTCTGGAAGGCAAATATTAGTTCTAATTTATTCCCTGTGCAAAAATAATTAAAAGAATTGGTAAGGAAGCATGTACACTAATCTTGTTATTTCTGATCTTTCTTTTGTAAACATTATCCATAGTCTAGTAAACTCCTGTTTGAATTATTACAATCCCTTATCTATAAAAAATAATGTGGAAATTTTGGTTGGCAAGATAGCCATAATCTTGTTCCATACTGCTCACTTGAATAATGTCTCACAAATTTAAAGAAGCTTTGCTGGTTGTCACTTTGTTCTGGGGAACCAATTCAAAATGTTTAAACTTATTTTTTCGAAGCCATAGTGTTATAATAAAGTAAGAAACCAAATGGATGACACTGCTGCCCTTAAGAAAACCCTATACTTGAGGTTTGAACTTCACAAGCTGCTTGCATATTCCTCCAAGAAACATTTCACTAAGATGACTTCAGGATTGCCTCAGGCTTAGTGAGAGAAAAATATTAATTCTGGAGAGTTTTGTATGTTTATGTGATTGTCAGTGACACTGTGTATGTCTGAATAAGAAACAACATGTATAGTTTTTGTTAATTGTGTGAATCACTCAAACTTTTTAAAAAAGGCTATACAAAACTGCCCTAATAATGGAGCTAACTGGCCATCTGCCTATGCATAAAAGGATACGAATTAAGATTTAACATCATCTGTCTCCTGCTTTAAAGTAATCAGCATTGTCATTCCAGAGATTTTACCTCTGACCAAAATATTTTCAGTCATCTGACATGTTAGCTGCAGTTCAATTTGTAAGCAAAAAAGGGAGAAAAATGAGAAGACTTGGAAAATATTTCATGTTTTTTCTGTCCCCCCATCCCCATATACTGTATATATGGCAACAGCACTGGATTAACACTATAATAGGAATACAAAGAATTCTCAGCTCCTGTGTATTCCCGACTGGAGATCAAAAGGGAACATTAATTTGCTACTATTCTCAGATGAATGTGTATTTTAATATGGTAGCTTCTCCCTCATGCTTTCCTACAACATGTAGCAAGATCCCACTGAAAAACACTGTACTAAACGATGTATCATTGTAATATATACCTCCTTTTCTGTTTTGAGCTGCCTCTTCTAGATTACAAGTTTATGGATAGTGATACCAAGAGCAGGTGTCTCCAACCTTTTGGACCTCAGGGACCACCAAACACATAATTTTAAATCCCAGGGACCACTAACCAGTTCTGTGGGTGTGGCCTAATTTGTGGGTGTGGTTTGGTGGTCATGTGACTGGCTGGGCATAGCTTGTATGTAAATACTACAAATATTTATATAAATATTGATTTTTTTATGAAAAAAGAGCAACTTTTACCCAAAATCAGGCAAAGCAGGCAGGCAGATTGAGTTGCTCACAGAATCACAGATTCATTCAGAGATCTAGCTATCTGCCATCGGCTAGCTGTCACATAATATTTGCTTGCAAGCAAACTCACAAAATTAACTCACAACACACCATGTATATAAATATTGAATTTTTTATTAAAAAGAGCAACTTTTACCCAAAATCAGGCAAAACAGGCAGGCAGGCAGAGTTGCTCACAGAATCATTCAGAGATCTATCTATCTGCCGTTGGCTACCTGAATTTGTCACAAAATTTGCTTGCCATGAGTCTGCACTGAATAATAGAAACTTCAGTCCTAAGGGAGGTTCGGCTGTGCTTAAAAGCAGAGCTGAAGATCTAAAGATTAGCTAGAAAGCAAGAAATCCAACCATTTCCCACTTCCTAGCTAATCTAAATCTCCTAGCACAGCAGAACAGATGATGATCGGAAAAAGGAAAAATAGCAATGGTATAAATTTAGCAGGCAAGTTTGCCGGGTAAGGAGTGAGTGGGTGGGGAGAGTTCCCGTGGGCCATGTGGGCTGTGCAGCCTTGTGTTTCTGCGCAGCCTGGATTAATTGCTTTGTGGGGGTGCTCTGGGGGTGAGATTTCTCTGCGGCCCACCAAAATTTTCTCATGGCCCACCAGTGGGCTGCAGCCCACCAGTTGGCGACTGCTGACTTAGAGGACAGTTTTATGTTGAGCACCTGTTTGTGATCTGAATGATGTTCACAAAATTTCAAACTATGTATTATTTCTCAAGACAAGAACAGGACCTCATTTGGCCTAAGAGAGAACCTGGCAAAAGAGATCAACTTTGAAAAAAAGATGGAATTGGTCAGAGCTGCAAAGAAAGCCCAAATTTCACCCAAGCCACCTTATGGGAGACTCAAGTGGTAGCTCATATGTTGGCACCTGCTCTAAGCCCTCTAGTCACATGACCAGAGGTGACATGACACACCCACACATCCCCCATTCTTCCTGGTTCTATATTCAATCACAGATACACATGAAGGGAGAACACCCATACCTGTAACATGCAACATGTTGCTTTATTATACATAAGAAAATATAAATGGCTGTCACTTGCACTGCTAGAGCATCCTACCCAATTTAGGTCTGATATTGGTTTCCTAGTGCATTGCACCTAACTTTATTAAGAAAGAGATAGCCAGGTTGCTTTGTATCTCTTTTCCTTCAGCTAGAGGATCATCTACAGGATGGACAGTTTTGACTTGAACAGGTATAGCTTGTATTTAATAAAAATAAAAGAAAAAAAGCTTGCTTTACCTCCCCAGAAAGCTTTGGGACAGTTTCTGTCATGTCTGATGTCAACATCCATCTAATAAGGTCTGTATCTAAAAGCCTCCCTAGCACACCAGCTGAGAAAGTAACTTGGAATAGACACAGCTGGAACAGCCACATTTCTTACCCCCCTCACTCCTTTTTTCCTCCTTAACCTTCCTCGACGAAGAATATTTGAAACAGGTGGTTTTGACCACTTTGTAAAGTTGCAGCTGATTTAGTAAGTACATTGCTTCGATATCTATCGCCAACATTACTGTTGTTTTTTTAAAAAAAAAATTAGGGAAACTTCAAGAATAATACCTTTATTGCCCACTCGTTTCTGTGAATTGAAATCCTACTAGTTATGAGTGAGCATCCGGCTGGCTCTGGGGTATGTCATTCAAAATGCTCGACAATTCACACTCGAGATAGGATGGAGAAAAAGGCCCCGGGGTCTCGGGTGGTTCTGGGTATCTATAAGCAACTGCACCAGCAGATGCTATTTTTCAGCAGTATCTGCTACCGCCTCTCAGGCGCTTGACCTGCCACAATTTCAGAGCAGGGTTCCCCGAGAGGAAAGGAAGGGACCGAGTCAGCTGTTTTCATCGGAGCGCGACGTGCACCGCACTCTGACTGCGGCGACGTTTCTGTGCAGTGCGGGACTGCACCGCGCTCTTCCAGGCCAGGCGCTTGCGTGAATGTGCCATTGCCGGGCGTCCAGCTTTTGGAAACCACTCAGTCACTAGCTCAGGGGCGAGACGCCAAAGAGGTTTCGGTGTCGCCGAGGACGCGGAAACGGACCCCGGAGCGGTGCAAGGAAACCTCTCGGAGGGGAGATTCCTTTGAGGCGACGGTCGCCTTTGATCCCCCCCCGCATTGCAAAAAAAGAAGCGCGACGTCATTTCAGCCAGCGCGCGCGGCGAGGCTTGCTGGGCTTGCCGCGCCGACCCCGCTCCCTCCCTTTCCTCGGGCCCAAACGCAGGAGGGAGACGACGGAGGGGGGGGGGGGGGTCGAGCCGGTCTCTCCCGCCGACGATGACTTCAGCCTCCGCCAGCCGCGGCCCCAACTGCGACTGTCTTCTGCCCCTGGTGCGGACGGACGCGCAAGACGCGTGCTCCCGGCTGACTCCACGGAGCCCGCGCTTGGTAAGGAAGCACAGGCAGGTCCGCGGCCGGACGGAGGGCTTCGTTCCGGCGGGTCGGTCGGTGGGTGGAGCGGAGAGTGGAACGCCTGGGGTGTCCGAGACTGGACTGTGAAGGAGGCCGCCGCGTCCTTTGCTGCCTCGATGCGCACCTGAGCCCGCGCGGCTAAGCTTGAACTCGGCTGATCCGGCAGTATTCGAAACTCGCCAGCCCTTCTGATTAGGCCCCGTGCTTTTCTTATGAGCCATACAGAAGAAGGGAAGGAAGGACAGAAGGACAAGAAAGAAGGTTATTAATTACTACCTTCTTTCTCAAAAGGTACTTTTGAGAATTTGGACCCGATTGAATCCCATTTAAATCAGGACAGCTGTATACTTATAAAGCATGGGATAGATTTTAAAAAAGCAATATAGGAGAATTATGATGTTACCTAGTCGAATAATTAAATGCAAGCAAACAATCAAGCTCAGAAACCACCAAGAAACCACCTCAGAAGAAAAAAAAAAGGGGGGGGGGACCTAGTGCTTTATGTGGTCTTTTGTGCCATGTTATTTTTTAAAAATTAAGCGACCACTCCTTTAGGTCAGGCTGAGGATGGGAATGACTGAAATAAAATGCCAGGTGTGGGACTGGAATGATGGCCCTCCACATAGGCCTGATTTTCAGTCAAAGGAATTCATTTCTGTACCCAGAGACAATCTTTCCAGTTCCCATGATTATGCTTTGGTTCCTTAGATCTTAGTCACATATGGGGCCAAGAGACATCCTGGCTCCATATGAATGTTTTGGCCCTTTCAGTCCCAGCCCTGTCATTCCAGCCTCACACTTCCTTCTGTTCCTACCACCCACATGTCAGTATCAGCTTGGAAGCTGTTATTCCAGTCCTGGATCTATGATTTCACTGAAGAGTCTTGGTCTGGACTTGTATTTAATGGTCTGTCTTTAGATATTATGGAGAAAGAAGCACTCTGACCGATCTCGTTCCATTGCAGTTCTAAAATAGACATTCTTATACTTCATTTTAGAACAATTTATATTTATGTATTAACGCCAGGAAGATCTTAGTACAACTCTATTTGGGGTGCCAGTTACACCTTTTACAAGATTGTGGGGGCCCTCTGACAGTCACTCATGACCTAGTCACCTTGTGCAACATGTTCTACATGGGGCTACCCTTGAAGACCACCCAGACGCTTCAATTGGTCCAGAATGTGACAGCATAGGCATGTCTCAGTATGCCCATGTAACACCTCTACTCCACAAGCTGGTTGGTTTGCTTCCGGATGCAATCCAGGGTGCTGGTACCTATATAGCACTACATGTCATGGGGCCTGTTATTTCAACATCTCTCTTCTATAACATCTTCCTTGCCAATTGTATACTGCAGGGTTGGCACATTCAGGGTTCCTTCCACTAAACAATATCATTTGTTGGGACCCTGGAATCATTCCTTCTCTATAGCAGTGCCTGCACTCTGGAACAAGGTGTCCCCTGAGATCTGTTGTTGTGTAATAGAGCTGTGAGAACAGCCTGGCAGAATGTGAAACCCCTCACTTAACCATATTTATCTTTTATTGAGTTTATTGCAATTGCTTTAATTGTTATGAACCATAGAGTCAGTGAGAGTCACTACTACTACTATTATTATATTGTTAGAGTGAATGCTGGGTGTAAATAAATTATAGTAAATCATTTTCCATTGAATTCATTATTTCTGAATTTTTTGCTCATAGGAGAAGTTCAGATGGAATTTTCTGCCTCAAATGCCAAAATGCAATGCACATGGATTTTGGGTTCTGTTTGTTCCCTGCCTCTCTTTGTATCCTGGTCATTGGTCTTCCAGTATGGCCCAAATTCATTATATTTCCAAACTAATGCATGAGATATATGTTTGACTTTTTCATATTTTCTGACACTGTACTCTTAAATTTAATTGAGTTGTCATGTCTCCATGTGGGTTGGGGGATGCAACACTCTTTTAACCATAGATTATCTAAAGTTGTCAGAAACTAAACCCAGATCTTCTACATCAAAACACATCCTTTAATACACCACATAAATAATTCTATGCCCCTGAAGAAAGAATTGGGAGGCACTGTTGCTTTGATGGTATAAATGGACAGTAAGGAATTCTTTTTTACCACATGATTCCAGCTTCAAGTGATATTATATGAGGATGAAAACAGCATGTGGCAATTTTAAAAATATATGTAAAATGTTTCTTTCTTTTTGGTATTAAATCCAGTGTCATTAAAGTGTACATGGGTGTGCTTGAAGTAGGATATGAGTCCTAATTCATTTTCTGTAAAGTTACCAAATGCCAATCTCTTCTATATATTTAAGAGCTAACTTGAAATAATAGAATTGACAAACCTATTTCATCCCAGCTATTGATATACACTTTTTAGAACAAACTAGCAACTCTTTTAATGTTTATTGACTAATTTTTGGTATTGGGGGGTTGTATTTGTACACATAGGTCACACCAAGTATGCACCTCAAACAACCAAGGCCAAGTTCACAATTTTGAAGGACAGCAGCGGGTTACTTTCTGTGATGACGAACCAGACGGAGTGGGCTGAAACAAAATGGACAGATCGCTCAAATTCCTCAGCACAACTACCTTCACCATCTTGGGGCAGCAATGACTCCTTTTCTTTTCAAGGGGATCTCCAGGAGATAATCCACACAGCCACTTTAGTTACATGTACCTTCCTTCTGGCTGTCATTTTCTGCTTAGGTTCTTATGGCAACCTTATTGTTTTTTTGTCCTTCTTTGACCCAGCTTTCCGGAAGTTCAGGACCAACTTTGATTTTATGATCCTCAATCTGTCTTTCTGTGATCTTTTCATCTGTGGAGTGACTGCTCCCATGTTCACCTTTGCTCTCTTTTTAGATTCTGAAGCTGGTATCCCTGATGCTTTCTGTTTTACCTTCCACCTTACCAGCTCTGGGTTTATCATCATGTCCCTCAAGACAGTGGCTGTTATTGCCCTTCACCGATTAAGCATGGTGTTAGGGAAGCAACCCAATCGGACTGCCTCCTTCCCTTGCACTCTACTGCTTGCCCTGCTCCTCTGGGCTACAAGCTTTACTCTGGCCACTCTGGCCACCATGAGGACCCATAAATCTCATCTTTGCCTTCCAATTTCCAGCCTGATCAGTGGTGAGGGAAAGATCATCCCTTACTTGTATGTTATTGATTTCATCTGCTGTGTGACAGTGGTTTCAGTTTCTTATATCATGATAGCACAAGCCTTGAGGAAAAATGCCCAAGTGAGAAAATGTCCCCCCATCATCACAGTTGATGCCTCCAGGCCTCATCCTTTTGTTGGAACACTTGCTACTGGTTATGCTGATGGGGTACAGTGTGCTGTGCCAGCTCTGTATAGAAACCAAAACTATAACAAACTGCAACACATCCAAACACATGCCTACATGAAGAACTTTGGACATCTCTCTGCATCTGCAGCCAGCAGATTCCAGTTGGTGTCCATGATTAATTTGTCCACAGCCAAGGACTCTAAAGCTATTGTGACTTGCATTATTATTGTCCTTTCTGTTTTAGTTTGCTGCCTTCCATTGGGCATATCTTTGATACAGGAAGTTTTGTCTAGGAACAATGGCATTGTGCTTTATCAATTTGAGCTGTGTGGATTTACACTCTTTTTTTTAAAGTCTGGATTGAATCCTTTTATATATTCCCGTAACAGTGCTGGTTTAAGGAGGAGGGTCCTTTGGTTTATACAGTATTTGGCCTTTGTTTTTTTCTGTTGTAAACAGAAAACACGGCTTCAAGCTGTTGGTAAAGGGGGTCTGGAGGCCAACAGAAATAAATCATCTCATCATGAGACCAACTCAGCTTATATGCTTTCTCCAAAGCCTCCCAAAAAGTTTGTGGACCAAGCGTGTGGCCCTAGTCGCTCTAAAGAAAGTGTGCTGAGTCCTAAAGCTTCTGTTGGCCATTATCATCATGGAGGAGGGCAGAGTAGTTCCACCCCCATGAATACCCGCATTGAACCTTATTACAGCATTTATAACAGCTGCCCTTCTCAGGAAGTGAGCACTCCCAATAGCTTGCAACCAACAAACTCCCCATTCAGATATGCCAACTCCTACATTGCCATGCATTATCACCCAACAAATGACTTAGTGCGGGATTTTGACAGTACTTCTGCTAAGCAGATACCAGTGCCCTCAGTGTAGCTGGTGGGAGCCAGCAGCATCCAATGTTCTACCACAGTGGTGGCTATTCTACCTTGGCAAGTTGTGCCATGAGTCATCCATAGGATGTATCGCTATTGTATATGCATGAATGTTCAGCCCCTCCATGCATTAAGTTGGTTTTGCTCCAGTCAGGCAGCAGCTGGGCTAGGAAAGATAGGACTGCAAGTTTCATGCCTTAGCCAGGCTTCTAAGTTCTGTATGTGTCTTGCAAATTAATATCCCATATTCTGCCTGTTTCATTAGTAGTGTTTCTCCTTTTAAAGATTTCTGCATGTGTACATTATTATAACCCTAGGAGATTTCTTCTGGACTCCAGCAAAGATCAATCTTTTTTTAAAAAAAATCTGCTACCACAAATCATCAGTGTTTTGTGTTTTATAACTGAATCAGATTTTGCTTTCTTGTTTATATGGTAAGTGCTTGAAAATGTATGTTTTACAAAGTTGCTTTTTAAAAGATTTCTACTAAGTTGTCTATTATTGATTTAGCATGGAACATTTTATGGGCAGATGACAGTTGTGTTAGTTATGTACAAAGATAAAAATAAGTTATAAAATCTAGTATCCAGTTCAGAGTTGTGGGATTTCTTTTGTGATTCCCTCTTGTTCTATTGACATTTGACATTTGCTTAGCTGATCACTTTTGACTTTTTTTAAAAAAAAAAACCTGAATCACAGCCAATATAGATGAAGTGCTGGGAGATATTTTTATTTATTTATTTATTGAATTTATATTGCCGCCTATTTGCCCCTGGCGACTCGAGGCGGCTTACAGAATGTAAAAGCATATTTAAAACAAAAAAACAATTAAAACTAAGCAAAAAGAATCAAATAAATTAATAAAGTACAATAGAACAAAATCTGGGAAAAAAAATCACTCCCTATACTCCCACCCCCTGCCCCGACCACAGCAGATCACATCAGCCATTTGATGGGCTCCATCTGGCTCTGGGTTCCCCAGGCCCGCTGGCAGAACCAGGTCTTCAGTGCCTTCCGGAAGAGTATTAGACTGGGGCCATTCTAATCTCTGGGGGAATGATGTTCCAGAGAGAGGGAGCCACCACGGAAAAAGCCCTTCTGGGTCTCACCAGGTGTATCTCCCTCAGGGATGGGACCCGCAGCATTCCCTGCCTCCCTGATCTAAAAAGATAAACTATTGTCTTATAATAAATTACATTTTTGGTTTATGCCACTAAACTTTTAATTACTTTGATTAACTGCAGCCCTTCAGTCTTAGGTCTTTTCCTACTACAATAAGACATTTAAGACTCTAAGCCTTAGAGTCTAAGGCATCGAAGACACTTCTTAGCACTATCTTTTTGTTTCTCTTTTTTTCCCCCATGATGCTGCCTTCATCTCATCTCCAAGTACCTTAAAACCTTCAAACCATTCTTAGCAATTGTTCCAGTATTAATTTACTGTTTTTCCTTCAAGCAAGCAAAATATGGCAGTTTTTCTATGGGTGCAATCTGATGTCCTTCATTTGATTGATGTCAAAGTCAGGTGAATGCTAATAGGTTGGGATATGCAGTTTAGGCTAATTCTGGCACTCTTTCAGTTCCTGGGCACTCTCTTACAGAGACTTTAGTTATCAGCTTAAAATCTCTGGAGTAGCTTCAAAGCAACTAGACTGAAGCAGTGGTAGTGGGCTGCATTGGCAAGTGAGTAAGACAAATGTCCCCCAGTTTCATTTCAGTCAAAGTTCCAGTGACTTTTAGCTTTTCAGTATGGGTTTAGCTCTTTTGTTACAACATTAAAACCATTCCCAAAGGAACTAGAAAATGTCACCTAGTAGCCAGGTTGGTTTTAGTCATGAATTAAATATTGTTCCAGAAGGTCACCTTAGTGCAAAACACTTGTGCAAAAACAAAGCAAGGCTTTAGAGATGCCTAAACCAGTGGGTTTCATCTGTTAAAACTTGTCTGCTCCCCATGCTGTTAGAAGTATGTGATAGATGTTTTGGCTGATGATACTATGTCATCAAATCTGTTCGGAGTATCCCTTGTACAATGTAAATAAAGATTATTTGTCAGTGTCATGCCTATGTCAGGACAAAAATAACTAGTAAGAGCAGTAAATTTTATGGCAGTATAGTTTTCGAGCACCCCAAAGACTGATGGAACGCATGGACTAAGCCATGAGGAAGAGCACTTAGGCAGCAGCAGTTATCTTGGCTAATTTTGTGATTGAGATGCAGGAATTGTATCTAGGATCTTTCCTGCATAAAGCATATAGAGTTCTTTTTTCTTGGAAGTTTGAGATCTATCATACAGCATAGTTTTAGTACATTTTGCAATTTAGTACATTTTTCTGTCCTCATTTTGCAAAATCAAAATTGTAGGTTGCAAGCTTGTTCTTTCCCATAAAAAATGCCCTATGCCTGTGATGGCGAACCTATGCCACGTGTGCCAAAAGTGGTGACACAGAGCCATTTCTCCAGGCATGCCAGCCATTGCCCTTTGCTCTTCCGTGTTCTGGCACAGACATGCACGCTGGCCAGCTGTTCATGCGCGCAGGAGTGCCAGAAACCAGAAGAACAGTTCCCTCGGTGTGCATGTGTGTGTCGGCCAGCTGGTCTTCGTGTGTGCAGGAGCACCAGAAACCAGAAGAGCAGCTCCCCAAAGCACATGTGTGCACCAGCCAGCCGGTGTTCATGGTGCAGGAGCACTGGAAGCTGGAAGAGCAGCTCCCTGGAGCGCATGCGTGTGCCGACCACCTGGTCTTTGTGCACGCATGCGCGTTAGAAATCGGAAGACCAGGGGAAGTTAAGCTTCCGGTTTCTGGCACTCCTGCGCACATGCTTTGGGGAGCTGCTCTTCTGGTTTCCGAAGTTCATGTGCTCCCGTTTCAGCACTTGGTGCTGAAAAGGTTAGCCATCACTGGCCTATGCATTTAAAATTGTGTGTTTGTGTGTGTGCTTGTTTGATTTACAGAGCAAGAAAGATGATAATCTTGAGCCATTCCATTAATATTTAGTTGCATACATACTCGGATTATGTTCCATATGCTAAAATTTCAGAATTAAAAGCTCACCTTTAGGGTTGTATACAAATGAACACATTCCCATTTACAATACACCTAAAATAATTAAATATCCAAATTGTTCCAGAGTGACAAAGGTCTCTAAGACCTATGAGATAGCATTAGATGATTTTGTATCTTCCAGGTCAGAATAAGTATACTGTATAGGGAAGTTTTTACCTTAGCCTCATGTCTGATATCCTATATTTTTACACAGAATTTGTAATGAGGAGAAATATATCACCTAATCCTATTCCAGTAATAAGACTACACTGAGAAACAGGAATAATAGTCTTAGCTGTTAACCCCAAAATCCTGTGTCTGCCCCCAAATTGATCATTTTTTCCCCCATCAAATTTGTGTTGCTTGTAAATGTATGGTATTTAAGCTAGTTAAGCCATGGTCTTATAGACATAGGCTCAAGAAAAATAGTTATTTTCAAAAATTAATGGAATTTGAAAAATATTTGATCTGGGTGATATGAATAGATTCGAATTTAAATAAATCAACGCACATAAAATGTGGAGAGTGTCTGCAAGAGGTATTTCAATATATGGAGGAACTGATACTAGTTTGGGGATTATCAATTCAACAATAGTATTATTTTCTGCAGGACATCAGTCATACTCCAAAAGAAATACGTGCTGGGCCTCAAAGACTCTTAACACCATCTATCAAAGAAATAGAAATCATCCCAATGATGTATGTAGATCACAATTCAATTTTAATGAGAAGGAGCTTCTAAACTATCCTTTAGATAGAAAAATGAACGAAAAGAGTCCATGAAACAGTTTTACAAAAATGTAAACAAGAGTTTAAATTATTTAATACAAACAGGACACTGTGGATCTCTCACTTTACTATGTGGGATATAAATAAAGCATAGACAAGGGGCTTTCTAATTAACTGCAAATTAAAAAACCCAACAAATGAAAAATACAGTTAAAAACCAAAATAAGAAAATTTGAAGCATGAAACTAACTCAAAAAACAATTGACTAAAGAATTACAAGACACTGTACTGTAATTAAGCCTATTAGAAATGAATTACAGAAAAAAATAAAATTTTCCAAAGAGAAAAACTCTTGACTAAACAAATAAACCATAAAAATTATTAGCTTATCAACTTGGAAAAAAAACCACAGTATCAGCAAGAAAAGGTCCAAATTGCTATATTCAAGATTGGAAATAATAGAAGAATTGGCAAGTTTCTTTAAAAACTTATATTTGAAGACTAATATTGATAAAGCTGCTATGAATGAATATATTGGAAAGTTGGTTGTCAGAGAATGTAATAGAATAAATATATGCAGCTGAAGTTGAACAGTGGATTCCTTGGTACTCTTGAGTTTAGTTGTTTGTGGATATTTCATTATCTGACTAGATAATATTCTTTAAGATAGTTGTTTTTTATTTATTTTATTTGTTTGTTTGTCAAACATGTACAAGATAACCAGTATAGGTATGAACATAAACATGAACAAAGGAAGTAAATACAGATAAATGGGGACAGTAAGACGGGGATAGTAGGCATGCTCATAGGCTTATGCACGCCCCCTTTAATGATCTCTTAAGGGTGGGGTGAGGTCCATGGTAGACAGTTTGAGATTGAAGCTGTGAGGCTTATCATGTCTTTGACTGCTAATTAATGTTTATGACTCCACTCTGCTAGTTTTTTGCCTGACTGTTTTATATAGTGGCTAACACTATATTGTAGATGACTCCTCTTTTCGAGCATCAAGGACCCTTCAGTGTTCTTGTCATAGCTTGTGCTGCAGTAGGTTGAACAGTAAGGTACTTTTTCATAAAGTTTGTGGACATTTATAGGTGGTTTGTTTTCTTTTTGTGATGCTCTGGGTTGCTGCAGTGCGTTTGTACTTATATGAACAAACAGTTTCCTAGGAAATACCCTGGTTTTAAGAGATCACTTTTCTAGAAAGATGACTTAAAATATAACTTTGGTTTATTTTCACTATTCTAATAATTGTATCTTTCAGATGATGACTATTTAAGAAGTTTTTGATTTTTTAAATACTCCAAATATTCCAATACTTCATCAGCATTGCTTCTCATTCAGTTTCATCTGTCTGCTTCCTGATGCAGCTTTTTCTCTGTGTTCTTAGTATCGGCTCATTTATAGTTTTCAACACAGCAGTCAACTGGTGCCAGAAAAGTTTTTGTTTGTGTTCTTCAGGACTCCATTTCAAGTAGGTTTTCCTTTTTAATAGTTTTCTAAGCTTGCTGAATTTTTTTGGAATGCTGTTGGTTGGCAGATCTTCCAGTACAACCATGATGAGGGAATCCTGATTTTCAGTGAGAACCCGGTGTTCAGCAAAGTACAGCTCATACTGGCACCAACAACTGTGGACAAACCTGGGTGATAGCACAAAAAGAACTTTATGGCTATTCTCGATACAGTAAAAAATGTTCCCAAGAACTGGATGCCCTGGCATGAAATCCCTTTCATGATAACATACTTTAAAGCCCCTGCCTTCCAGGTTTTTTAATAGAGTTTCTTTGATCCAGGATGCATCATTTTCACTGTATGAAATGAAAGCATCGTATATTTTGTGTTCTGGTCTCTTCTCATATTGTTTCCTTTTAGCCTTGCACCAATACCAGCCCATCTTCAAGTACCATGGACCATCAAAATGCCAGCATAATACAGATATGATGGACATAATCAAAATGACCACAATGACAGTAATTCCGATTTGAAGACCAAGAGAACAATGCAACATTGTTAGACTACTGTTTTGCAACAAAAGACCTCTCATTTTCTTTGGAAAACCACAGAAAAGGCTTTCTTGGCCATTTATTTGCATTTGTGGATTAGCAAGGTATGTATTTGTAAACCAGTATAATTCACAGTTACAGAAAAAATGTTTCCCTTGAACAGTTAAAATTTTCAGGTTTGTCAAATGGACAAACGTTTCTTTCATAAGGATGGCAATGGCATTGTTGCTGATATCCAACTCAACCAATGATTTAGGGAAATATCCAGGCTGAAGAAAAAATATCTTATTTTCTGACAGATTCAAATATTTCAGTTCAGGCATAAATGTTCCCATGTCACCCAGCAGATCTGTAATTAAATTACAGCTTACATCCAGATTATTTAGGGAAAGATAGGAATTATTCACATTCAGTCGCTTTAAAAGATTTCTAGAAAGATTGAGTAGTTTTAAATTTTGCCCCTCCCCATGGAAAGTGAATCTACTTATTTTATTTTTACTAACATCACATTCCTCTAATGAATCTGGGAAATATGATATTTTTTTTATGTTATTGTTTTGAATTTTAAACACAGTTACATTTGGAAAAAGATTAGGGCGAGCTATTCCTTGTAAGTTGCAGTTGCTTAAATCAATACGATGCAAAGATTTTGGTAAGTAGTGGAAATTGTGCATTAATTTATTGCTAAGGTCAATAGAAATAGGTTTTTTTGTTATGTTTTGAAGCTCTGTTTCAGTGAAATAGTTTAACATTATTTGATGTGTTGCTTTCTCAAGGCAGCTTTCAATGGGAGTGGACTGTGGAAGCTTTGTAAATGAAATGGTTCCATTAAAGAAACTCTCATCATTTCTTATTCCACGTACAGGATTAAAATTAAATGTAACTGCTTCAGTATTGTACATAAATTGATTCCCCTGAAGAAATACCTCTTCTATGTGAGAAAACATTGCAACAAAATCTTTTGGTATTTGGCTAATTTGTGTAAAAGATAAATCAATGCTCTTGAGACCTCTTGGTAGGGTGAGGCTTGTCAGAGTTTTAAGGGGATTGTGACTGAGATTTAAAAACCAAAGATTGTTGTGCTCCAGATTATGACTCTCACTTGCAGATTTGGTATTTATAAATATTTTGTTATAACTCACATCAATTAAATACACATTCTTCATTGCAAGGAATAATGGAATCAGGGTTGCAATATCTGTCTCCAATTTGTTGAGACTTGCATTAAACTTTTTAATTTGGTCCAGTGTAGCTTTGCAGAAAATGGGATCCATTTTCCCCCTCAATTCATCCTTGGTTAGTTTCCTGTTTGATAGATCAAATGTGCCATTTGTTGGGATTCCACAGCTTGCACTAATGTGTAATGTTGAGGATGGAAATCTTGTTCCCTTTACTTTGTTTTGTTCATCACCAAGAACATTCCACTTTAACACTGAATTGAGATTTAAAAGGCCTCCAGTTTTTTGCTGCTTTTCTGCTGGCATAGGAGACAATGTCATGCCCTGTAGAGATGAGTCAGTCAATGCGACATTTATTATTTCATCAGTTTGTGAGAATTTATGGGATGACTTATGCTGTAGTTGGCTATTAGATAAAACAGTTGTTGGATCAACTTGGAAACTATCATTGTGTTGCTTATTTAAAACGTTAAGTATATTGAGACGTACATTCTTTTTTGTAGACTTTGTCCTTACATTATGTAAAAAGTTGAGGCCTCTTGGAATTTGAGATTCAGATAACGAAGAAGGACTTGTAGGGGATTTGGAAAGAAGACTCTTGTTGTTTGAATACTGAAATTGCTCATCTCCACCACAAAAGAGAATGATGAGATAAAAATGCAATGTTTTGATGAAGAATCCCATCCTAAAGAGGAAACAAAAACAGCAAATGTACCATATATTCAGTGTAACATTAACAATTCAGTTTTACAACTTCACAAATCAGAAACTTTTTAGTTGAGAAAATTATATTGATATTTATACCATATTTACAATATTTTCAGCCTTAGCTTTTTTAACAGGAATAAAATTGTAACTATTCTTTAACTTTCATTTGGGAGAGTCTTGGTGGCACAGTGGTTAGAATGCAGTATTGCAGGCTAATTCTGCTGGTGAGTTCAATTCTCACTGTCTTAGGGTTGATAGTCTTCCATCCTTCCAAGGTCAGTAAAAATAAGGGCCCAAATTGTTGGGGGGCAATGTGCTGACTCTGTAAACCACTTAGAGAGGGCTGTAAAGCGCTATGAAACAGTATATAAGTCTAAGTGCTATTGCTAAGTACTATTTATCACCTTTTCTATTCCTTGCGTTCGTACTACAGGTGAAACTCGAAAAATTAGAATATTGTGCAAAAGTTCATTTATTTCAGTAATGCAACTTAAAAGGTGAAACTAATATATGAGATAGACTCATTACATGCAAAGCAAGATAGGTCAAGCCGTGATTTGTCATAATTGTGATGATTATGGCTTACAGCTCATGAAAACCCCAAATCCACAATCTCAGAAAATTAGAATATTACATGCAATCAGTAAAACAAGGATTGTACAATATCGGACCTCTGAAAAGTATAAGCATGCATATGTGCTCAGTACTTGGTTTGGGCTCCTTTTGCAGCAATTACTGCCTCAATGCGGCATGGCATGGAAGCTATCAGCCTGTGGCACTGCTGAGGTGTTATGGAAGACCAGGATGCTTCAATAGCGGCCTTCAGCTCTTCTGCATTGTTCGGTCTCATGTCTCTCATGTTTCTCTTGGCAATGTCCCATAGATTCTCTATGGGGTTCAGGTCAGTCGAGTTTGCTGGCCAATCAAGCACAGTAATCCCATGGGTATTGAACCAGGTTTTGGTGCTTTTGGCAGTGTGGGCAGGTGCCCAGACCTGCTGGAAAATAAATTCAGCATCCCCATAAAGCTCGTCTGCGGAAGAAAGCATGAAGTGCTCCAAAATCTCCTGGTAGACGGCTGTGTTGACCGTGGACTTAATGAAGCATAGTGGACCAACACCAGCAGATGACATGGCTCCCCAAATCAACATAGACTTCACACTGGACTTCAAGCATCTTGCAGTGTGTGCCTCTCCATTCTTCCTCCAGACTCTGGGTCCTTGGTTTCCAAATGAGATGCAAAAGTTGCTCTCATCAGAAAAGAGGACTTTGGACCACTGAGCAACAGACCAGTTCTTTTTTTTCTTTAGCCCAGGTAAGACACTTCTGACGTTGTTTGTTGTTCAGGAGTGGCTTGAGCAGAGAAATACGACATTTGAAGCCCATGTCCAGGATCCGTCTGTGTGTGATGGCTCTTGATGCACTGATTCCAGCCTCAGTCCACTCCTTGTGAAAGTCCCCAACACTTTTGAATGACCTTTTCCTGACAATCGTCTCCAGGCTGCGGTCATCCCTGCTGCTTGTGCACCTTTTCCTTCCACACTTTTCCCTTCCACATAACTTTCTATTAATGTGCTTTGATTCAGCACTTTGGGAACATCCAACTTCTTTTGCAATTACCTTTTGAGGCTTTCCTCCTTATGGAGGGTGTCAGTGATGGTTTTCTGTACAACTGTCAGGTCAGCAGTCTTTCCCATGATTGTGATTCCTACTGAACCAGACTGAGAGACCATTTAAAGGCTCAGGAACTCTTGGCAGGTGTTATGGCTTAATTAGCTGATTAGAGTGGGACACTTTGAGCCTAGAATATTGAACCTTTTCACAATATTCTAATTTTCTGAGATTGTGGATTTGGGGTTTTCATGAGCTGTAAGCCATAATCATCTCAATTATGACATATCAGAGCTTGACCTATCTTGCTTTGCATGTAATGAGTCTATCTCATATATTAGTTTCACCTTTTAAGTTGCATTACTGAAATAAATGAACTTTTGCACAATATTCTAATTTTCAAGTTTCACCTATATACATGGTTCTTTCAGGAGTCAAATATGTTTGTAGGATATGAGTCTCAATTCAAGTTTGTTGTTTATAGCTTCATATACAGAAAATGAATCATATTTTGAGCATCATCCTGATCTCAAAACACCCCAATTGCACCAAACCTTCTGTGATCAAAGATTGGTGAAATCAGATTTTATATGTGATCAATATGAGATGTGAACATGATTCATATTTACAAAATGAAGTTGTTTTAAAGCAAGAGTTTTCTAAATATTGTAGGGATAGTGCTTCCAAGAATTTATTGGATGATTACTCTATAGTCTCGGTGTACTCTGATCACTCAGTCTGAGTGAACAAAACTTATTGAAGGACAGTTTGCTGTCACCACTTACCTTCTTATGTTAATTAGACTTGCAGTAAAAATGTTGGATGTGTTGCAGGTTACAGTTCTAACGATTTAGAGGCATGTAAGATCTGTGGAAATAGTTCTTATGAGGTTTTTCTATTCAAATACCCTGTTTCCCAGAAAATACAATCTACCATGAAAGTAAGTCCTAGCCTGATTATTATATGTGCACCCAATATAAGCCCTATCCCCAAAATAAGCCATAATTAAGATTCTACCTACTCCAGAGTACAGGGTAAAAATTAAGGTGGGGATGGGGGTGGTGGAGCTGTCCTATTACTTACCTTTGGATAGTTGTAGTCAGGTCTCGCACACCTGCCTTGCCAGCCCATTTCTTCTGCAGCCAGCAAGGCTTTCCTAAAGGCTTCTGTAGCTGATAACGGAGCCCCAGATTGATGTGGAACAATGTTATCAGCTGCCTTCAGGAAAGCCTTACTGGCCACAGAAGAAGTTCCTAAAGGCCTCTGACAGCGAAAAGGAGGCCGGAGGCAATGTGTGCAAGTGAGGTTAGTCGGTGGATGACATTCCCCCAAAATAAGACCTGGTGTCTTTTTTGGCGGGAAAAAAAAACGGACAAAGTCTTATTTTTGGTGGGAAAAAAAGACAGGGTCTTAGTTTTGGTATATGTCCAAGAACTTCTACAAGTCATGCAATAAATAAGTCAACATGAGAACTTGGAAAGCGGATGAGTTTGAGAATAAGAAAGGTGACTTTGCTCAATCACTGTCAGATCAAGCTATCTCATAATATTACTGTTGAGGGAATAAAATCAGACAAGAGTGTTATGTAGGAGCCCTTTGTATGTTGCCTTGATTTCCTGAAGAAAAGATGTGATATAACTCTAATAAATAAATACTAATAATTGCAGACTCTCTGGTTTTCAGTCATATCCCATGAAAAGGGTATATCCTATATTACAATAAATAGGGATATAACTAATGAGAGACATGTTTATGGCTAACATTAGTGATTGTAGCGTTAAAAGAATCTGGAGGAATATAATTTATTTATTAAATTTGTTTGCCATATGTTTGCTTTGAGGCGACTGGGCTGTTTACAACATGAAAATATAGTAATAGATTTACATGATAAAGAGAGGATTCAAAAAGTAAAAGCAACAGAAAATATTTTCATAACACTTGAGTATTAATTTTGTTGTTTGATCTCAGCTTTTTCAGGCTAAAGAAGCAGATAGAAACTGATATTGAGAATTTTCTCACAATACATGATAAATAAATAAATAATAAATCTCATGTCTCTAGAAATTGCATAAAAAAGAGTTTATAGGCATGAAACTGTCTAAACCTCATCCAGATAAAATGAATAATTATACATTGGGCATAGTAGTAGGTCCCCTCAAATATTAGAAACAAACTGATTTCTCTATCTTCTTTTAAAGAAGAACCAGTTAAGTCTCTTTACTGAAAACAAACAGGTCTTATCTATTTCTTAATATTATTAGCAAGGTGATTTTTATACACTGAATAAATTACAAGGAAATTCCAATTCTAGGGCATTGAAATAGCTTTGAATCAAGATGAAAAGGTGACATTTTAATATAATCTTTTGGGCATTTTCATTTTAAATTCGAGCCCAAGGTGTTCTAAGCAGAATAATCATTAATCCAGTGGGTTAAGGGAAATATTGCTATGTGAAGAAATCTCTTCAAGATATCATCAACAGGTGTATAGTTTTCTTGGCAGCAGGATGGAAATTGCATGCCATTGCTGCTTTCTAGGATGACTTTTAGTCTTCCATGCCTGCTCCCTTCCCAAATAGATTTAAGCCTAGCCCTCCTTAGCTTCTGATCAGAACGTCAGGTAGGTGCTACCACATGCAAAGATGAAGTAAACTGGAGCTTTCTTTCTTCAATATCTTATATTGAAAATGTCTGAATAAAAAAAAAATTTCTTTGGTTCCTTTTTATAAGAATGAAAGACTTGTCATCATAAAAACAGATCAAGATTGTCAGAAAATATTTCTGGTTCCAATGCCTAAGGAAAAATGTTTTTTTTAAAGGTCAATATGTATTGGGGTGTATGTGGGTGAGATTGTTCCAGAGACAGATATCACTGTGGAAGAGATATCTTCTTGGGTCCTGCCAGGTTTCAAAGAAAAGTTTTACAATTTATAAAAAAAACAATGCCTAGTATTAGAGCAGATATGCAAGATTAAATTTAATTATGTTTTAGTGCACTTGTATAACATCTGTGAATATGCTAGAATGGGGATTGAGGAGAACATCTATGCTGCCATAAATGGTAATGAGACTGATGGAACACGAATTTAATAAATATGCACTCTACACATTACATATGTAGAAGACTAACGGTTAAGAAAATATTGCATTTGATGTCATTTTGTTATACAAATTTTAGAGTTTTAACAAAGTATCTGTTAAGATATTTGCAGGCAATCCAATATTTACAGTTTTTAATTTCAACCCTCAGCAGCCTAGCAAGGATGCATGATAATGGAAGATGTTGAAGGAGTTGTGGTATTACAAGATGGTTTCTGCTGATTGTCGTGAAAAAGCCAATAGTCTATCCATTATCTTGCCTCATTCAAGTAGGATTTTATAGCAGTAATTAGCACTTAGTATTGAGAAAGGATAGTTATTGCAATTATTTCCACAGTAAAGTGATATATTACCTAATCAAATAAATAATCTAGGTGTCACCGTTTAACAGGTGGAAGCTTCTGGGCAGTTTTCAAAGACAGTCCTCATGGAGAAGTAAGCTTCCTTAGAAGTAAGTGTTAAGTATAGACTGGGTGAAACCTGGCTCAATAGCAGTAACTGAGATGGATCTTGGAATCTTAGTGGACAACCAGCTAAATATGAGCCAGCAGTGTGCAGCAGCAGCCAAAAAAGCTAATGTAATTCTAAGTTGTATTAACAGAGGGATACAACCAAGAGCAAGTGAGGTACTAATACCACTCTATAAAGCCTTAGTAAGACCCCTCTAGAGTATTGCATCCAGTTTTGGTCACCACATTATAAAAAAGATGTTGAGACTCTAGAAAAAGAGCAGAGAAGAGCAAACAGAATGATTAGGGGACTGGAGACTAAAACATGAACGGTTACAGGAATTGGGCTCGGCTAGTCTAGTAAAGAGAAGGACCAGGGGAGACATGATAGCAGTCTTCCAATATTTGAGGGGCTGCCACAGAGAGGAAGGGGACAATCTATTTTCTAAAGCCCTGTAGGCCAGATAAAGAATAATGGATGGAAACTGAACAAGGAGAGATTTAACCTGGAAATAAGGAGAAACTTTCTGACAGTGAGAACAATCAACCAATGGAACAGCTTGTCCTAGGAAGTTGTGGGAGCGTCATCACTTGAGTCTTTGAAGAGGAGATTGGACTGCCATTTGTTAGAAATGGTGTACTGTCTCCCACTTGGGCGGAGGGTTGGACTAGATGATCTATAAGGTCCCTTCGAACTCTGATTATCTGTTATCTGCCTCAACTTGGAAAAATCACTTATGGTCACAGCTTTCACCTAGATATCCATTTCTAGAATAAAACTGGATTCAGAAAAATATCCACGCATGAATTCAATGTTTTCAGAGAAAAAGATACCTCACTTAGCAGAGAGTCATGTTCTGTGTTTTTATTAACACTTTGCATTTCTATGTAATCTAACTTTCAAGTTTTGTTAACTGTCTTAACGTAAGAATCCAGACTTCTATACAGTGGTCCTATCCATTTCATCCATATGTTAAAAAGCATGGGGGGAAAAGAGATCAAATCAGGCTCACCATAAAGTAGCACCATTAGGTCATTGATATTGAAAGCTACATTATGCAGTTTGATATAAAGAAGCAACCATTGTCATCTACTACAAATACATTAACAGTAGTTAATCTTCCTTTACCTATCTCCATCCTCCTCCGCCCACCCCCTTCTCCCCCCCAGGTGATCTTAGAAAGGCATGTGTGAGGTCTATTTCCTAGATCTAGACAAAAGACTGGAAAAGCACTAGGCCCAAAATGGAGTAACTCCTTGCTTGCAATCCTGTGCTGAACAAGTGCCCCCAATCTTAACATGAATTTTGAATAAAAGTTCCTAAGAAATCCTCCATCAGGGAACTGTGAGGAATACAGTCTGATTGCTCTGACATCTGTAGTTATGAAGAGAGGTTAGCGCAGGCCCACCTGAAAGTCATTATGGATCTGATGTTACACCCTTTGCAGTTTGCCTATTGAGCAAATAGATTGGCAAATGATGCTGTCAATATGACACTGCTACATTTGGCAACATCTTGAATTCCCTATGCATGAGTCCCTTTTGCAGGCTTCAGTTCAACAGTCACTGCCATCATTCCAGAAATTCTTCACTCTAAACTGATTCAGCCCGATCTTCCTGTTCATATTTGTAGGTGCATCATAAGCTTCTTCAGATAGGAAGCAACAGGTGAAGCAAAGGAAAATTACATTTAGTACCTGGGCAGTTAGTACTGAAGCCCCTCAGGGCTGCCTTCTCTCTCCATTGCTCTTCTGTCTCTATACCAATGATTGTACCTCAAGAGAATTTTCTATTAAAGTGCTGAAGTTTGCAGGTGATAAAATGGTCACTGGCCTTATTCGAGACAGTGATGAAGGAGGTTGAAGGAGGCCCTGTGATGCAACCAGAACAATCTGGAACTAAACATGCTTAAAACAGTAAAGAGTGGATTTTAAGAGGAGCCCTTCTATTCTACATCCTTACTATATTCTACAGCACAGTATCAGCAGTACAGTCCTTCAAGTTTTGGGGTTTTTTAATTTCCCAGCACTTGAAAGGGTACTTAATATTAGAACCATTGTTAAAAAGGCACAACAAAGAATGTTCTTCCTGCATCAGCTCAGGAAGATCAGACTGCCCCAGGAGCTGTGGATACAATTCTACAGAGGAATTATTGAGCCTTTCACTTGTGGTTCTGTAACTCTCCTGTCTGGTTTGTTGTTTGGCACAACAACCAAACAAGACAGGTACAGACTCCAGCGGATAGTTAACGAGTGCAAAAAGAACAATTACAGCTGGCCTGCATTCCATAGAAGACCAGTATATTGCGCAGGTTAGGAGAGCTGAAAAAATATCTACAGACCCCCTTACATCCTGGACATAAACTCTTACAACTTCTCCTCTTGGAATGACAGTACAGGGCACTGCATGCCAAAACTAGATAGAGGGACAATATTTTCCCTCATGCCATCAATCTGCTGAAACCTAATTCTCACAGTGCTGTCTAATGTCCTATGCATATTTACCCAACCCGTATAGTGTGGCTGTAGTATTATCACTTATCCTTCTTATCTTCTTTATTCCCCACCTCATATTGGCATTATTATTATTCTATTGATTTGCATGTACACTGAGAGCTACTATACCAGAGACAAATTCCTTGGGTGTCTAATCACACTTGGCCAATACAGTATTCTGTTGCTCTGTTCTACTCTAAATTGAAATATCTTCAAGACAGTACAAAAAGAGGCATGGCATGTATAGTACACAAAATATTCTGAGCTTCCCTCAGTTGTTCCCAAAGTATGAATCCTCCCTCAACCATTCTATACCTTTCCTTAGCATGTAATTTACTTACCTTTCGATTCATCATTCTCTTTCCATGAGAGTACTTATATCTGGAGTATTTTGCTGCTGTGAATACAACAGCTGAACAAAAATGGTTTTGAATGCCTCTGTCCTATCAAATTGAATTTACCATTTACATCACATCCTTTGGAAATTCCCTGTTAATAAGGATGTGAACTATTAAATTACAATGTGGGAAAGCCGATAGATACATGAAAGAAAAGGCAAGCGTTTTCAATCATAACATCTGTTATAACTTGTAGATTGTTTCCCACAAATGAATGATGCAACAAGGAATCAAGGATCTTGCTTACCTTATCTTAAACAAATGAAGTGATTGCTTCATTTTTAAGCAAATGCAATACCCAGAAGTTGCTTTAATCTGTTCCATCTCCTTTGGTCATCCTGCAATGGCTTTTGGTCTTGCATTCCTTGCTCACTTAATCAACATGGATTTGGAAATGTCCTCCACCCTAGGTCCTATACCTTCTAGCTTTCTTTTTCATAGTGAATAATTGAGGAAAGGTTTCTGAATCAAATAAGCTATGACAGATATTATTTCACAGATGTCTTCATTCATTTTCCCCACCCACTTTTGCTCTGTTTCATTCAAAAGAAAAATTGCTATAGACAGGAAACAAATTGCAATACACTTTTGCTGTTACTTCTGCATTGCTGAATTTTCAATTTTTTTGCATAGCAATTTCAGAATTAATGCTAAATCAGAGGAGCAGCAAATGAAGACCATCTTTATGATGATTAATGTGCACTTCAACCCAAAACAAAATAAGATGCTTCATGTATTCTGTGTGCATAATTTAATTATGGCCTGGCAATTTTTCGAAGAGTTAATACCTAATTAAAATTCTGCTGGTTTCTGTCAAGTGGCTTCTAGACCAGGAAAAAAAATCCTAAGAAAATGTCATTTTGTTTAAATTAGATTTAGATTTAATTTAAGATTTCTATTCCCAGAATTCTCAGCCAGATGATAGATATTCTGGAAGCTGGTCCAACACATCTGGAAAAAACATCATGTTGGGAAACATATTTTCTTGGCTTCAGAAATCATCACCAACCATTGTTGCTATATATTGATATATATATATGTATGTATGTATGTATGTATGTATGTATGTATGTATGTATGTATGTATGAATGTATGTATGTATGTATTACTATATATTGGGGTAAGGGAGAGTTCTGTATGAATTATTTGGGATGGATAGAAAAGATTAGTTTCAGTATAACTACATGGCAAGGTGACAGGAAAATCCAAACAAACTTTTGAATCATTCACCCTCCTCCTGATTGTAAATGCAATCCACATTACCTATCGATCTATTGCAAAAGTAATTTGATAAGAAAATTCCTCCTAACTACCACCACCACCATCATTAATCCACCAGAGAAAACCAGTATTAAAATATTTTTACAAAATGAGTATTTACCAGAGTTAGAAAGTATGTTCTGAGAAGGCGTCTCAATGTCTAATGAAAATACCAGCAGGGAGAGGGCCAAAAACAGAGTTACTGTGCAAAAGCTATTGTACTTTGGACTTATCCAGGGGCTGGTGCATTTATAGAAAATATAATACTGAGCAAGGTGGAAGAAGAATCTGAGTACATGTGGGCAGAGTTCTGGAAACCCCATGAATATACTATACTACAAGAATTGCATAATGTGGCAAGACATATAATTAACAGAAGTTGCTACAATAACGTATCAGTATCATCCCAATTAAGTTGGGAATGGCAAGAACTAGACAGAAGAATCTTTAGTCTTCCAGCTACTGATCTAACTGGAGAGAGTGGGTATTTTCTGGAATGATTACAAAGGCATTACCAAGCATCTCAAAATCTGGACTCACTAAGAAACTTCTTGTGGTAGCTTATGAAAAGAGATTGACCACCTAGTTCCCTTCATGGGTCACAATGTATAGCAAAGACACAGAGAGATATTCTGGTAAAAATTAAATCGCTGATCATCTGAACAGATCAGAAAAACTCCTATGCAAAAGAAACCAATGTAACGGAATAACAGAGTGGGAAGGGACCTGGCGGTCTTTTAGTCCAACCCCCCGCTCAAGCAGGAGACCCTATACCTGTGATGGCAAACTTATACCACATGTGCCGGAAGTGGCACACAGAGCCATCTCTCTGGGCATGTCAGCCGTCGCCTGTTGCTCTTCCGGGTTCTGGCACACACGTGCTGGCCAGCTGGTCTTTGTGCGTGTGGGAGTGCTGGAAACCGGTGAGCAGCTCTCTGGAGCGCATGTGGGTGCCTGCCAGATGGTCTTCATGCTGCATGCATGTTAGAAACCAGAAGACCAGGTGGCCGGTGCGCATGTGTGCACCGGGAAGCTAAGCTTCCCATTTCCTGTGCTCCTACACGCTGGGGAGCTGGTCTTCCAGTTTCTGGTGCACGCGCTCTCCTGTTTCTGCACTCAGTGCCAAAAACGTTAGCCACCTCTGCCCTATACCATTCCAGACAAGTGGCTGTCTAGTCTCTTCTTAAAAGCCTCCAGTAATGGAGCACTCACAACTTCTGAAGCAAAGCCATTCCACTGATTAATTCCTCTTACTCTTAAGGAAATTTCTCTTTAGTTCTAGGTTGTTCCTCTCCTTCAACTAAGGAGAAATTTCTTAACAGTATTTTGATATATTATCAAAACAGAATCTTATTTTCATCTTCCATAAAGTGAAAAAGTAAATATTAAGGAAGAGAGACTCCATTCTGTATTAGAGTAAATGAAAGTGTCCAAGATTAGATTTTAAATTTTTTTTAAAAGTTTATCATAGTCTCTTATATACATATAATATTAACAAAATAATTCACAATAGCTTTTTTCTTTCTGTCTGTCTGCTGGTGAATTCCTGTGACTTTGTACTTCTTTTCACCCTTGGTTCACAAGTAGAACAGTAGGTGTTCTTTTCTTCCTTTAGCTTTGTGGTTCTGAATGTCCAATAATTTACTATGCCATTAACTTGGCACAGAAAGCAGTCCATATTCATCTGCTGTATCCAGAATTTTACAGATAACTGGTGACTCTACCTGGAAAGAAAAAAAATATTTACAAAGATGTTAGTCACAATGAAACTGAGCAAAATAAGTCATGAAAAAAAAATCGAATCAAACAACTGTGACCAAAAAGCTATGATAAGCTTAGTGCTCATAAAACTGATGCTCTCAAGTTAGAAAAAGATAATGCTGTATCTGGGAATAATCTTGCAATCAGAATATGACTAGTCAAGCTTTTTGAACACCTTATGTATTCTAACCAGGCTCTCAAAAAAGTTAAATCCCACTGACTTGTTCACAACTTCATTTTAATTAACAGAGTCTGTGTAAAAGTCTTAAAAGTTTTGGCTGAATTGTGCCCAATGTTTTTAGCATTTAAATATTTTGTGGGATAAAATGCATTTTTGCAAAAACTAAAAAAAAAAGCTGTCAGCCTTCCTGGGTATACCAAATAGGAATCATGACCGGACAGGCTAATACTACTTTATTGTAAGGCTAGGTTAACAGAATCTTGCAAGTCTGAACATATAAATCTCATGCTATCTCCTTTACAACTTGGGAAGCTTGGGATGGGATCCCTTCTTAGTCTGTTTCTACACCCACTAGGCAGCTGTGGGCTGTTCCCTCACTAATTTGACCATTCCCTGCATAGAATTTCTTTTCCCTATCTCGCAAAGCCTTTCTCACATATTACAATAGTTTAAACTAATGGTATCTTTAATTTTGGGGTGCGTGTAGTCTAACTGCAATATTTTTTAAATGCCTACCAACATTTTTGTTGTGGGTTGATATTAAATATGACCTAAGCAGACCTAAAAGTTCTATCCAATTTGAAATGTACTTAATATCACAGAGACTATTACCAGTAAATAAAAACATATGGGAAAGCATTATAGTACACATCTGACATGCCACATTGTTGTCACGTCACTACATTCCTAAATGTTCTAGAACAGGGGTGTCAAACTCACAGCCCGGATGAGTCACATGTTGGCCATCTCCATTTTAGCAAGGGGAAAAAAAGTCACAATACATTACATGACGCCACAAATTTGATACCCCTGCTCTAGAAAAATGCACTGTGTCATATTACCGAAAAGATTAGGTCCATATTAATGAAAAATTATAAGTTTAGTACCAGAACTTTCATGTTTCTCTAGGTGAAATACATTTTCCATGGGAGATTTTCCTCCCAGAAGTCAACACAGTTTATATCAAGAACTCAAACACATACCCCAAGAATATACTGGCAGGAATGAGGCTCCACCATATATATAGTTACTGCATGAGGAGAGTCAGATTCTTTGCACCTTAAAACAGGAAAGTGTTTTAGTAGGCAAAGCAGATTAAGAAAATGGTTAACAGACTTCTTCAACCCCCAAGGTTTTTTGTCAGTTATAGTCACCTATGAATCATCTCTAAAGATGATGCAAGTCTTGCTGCAATACAAGCAAAAAATTACGCATTTAGATAACATTTCCCGTTGAATCTGGTGTAGCACTTGCCTTGCAGGTAATTCTCAAATTATTTGAAACATATAAATATGAATTGTGCCCAATAATTAGTAAAGGAAAACAAGAGCACTTTAAGGGTCCAGGCATATTTTCCTTAGGAAATATATACAGTTCAATTAGCAGTACAAACAGTATTTATTTTAAGTATAACTCACTTCAATCTCACAATCACTTGTCGAGGTTTGTCAGTTAAGTCACAAACATCTCCATTGCCATAGTAGTGAGATACCATCCTGTCAGGAAAGTTACAACTTAGACTCTGATTGCAATAATCACATTTAAAACTCATTGCTTAAGATCCAAAACTTAGAGCTTTCATATTTGCCTTCTATACAATTACGGTACTATAAAATATATGAACAAAATTCTCAACTAGAGTTGAGTATCAAAAAAAAATTATACAATATTTAGCCCATTTAGATACCTTGCTTTAAAATTTAATTATTTTTGTTTATCTCAAATATGTCTTCAGTACAAAAGAATATAATA